GCTTCTTTTTCATATGACACCCAAAAAGCTCTGAAAAGTAGTCTGTTTATAATAATAAAAATATATATGTAATCTATGTAGCTATATTGTGTTGTAAACTGAATTTATTTGTAAATAAATCTAAGAATTAAATCAATTTTCTTTATTTACATTTCTAACAAATTTATTGAGAAACCGGATCTTGCAAATGTATGTTATGTTTATTTGAATTAAGATGTTGGCCTAGATATATTAAAATTGTCTGAGTAAGACAAGGTTTAATAATTATTATAATCATGTACTATCCACAGTGTTCAAAATGTAGAATTTTAATTGGGATTTTTATGTTTAATTTTTAATTCCGGTTATTATAATTAGATGTATTTATACAACAGCAACCACGTTAACCATTTTTACTGCAATAAAATGTTTGCTTGCATTGCAACATTATTCAGGGCTTTAAATTAAAAAAAAAAAATTTGGAATAACTCTTTAACTGTTGCCAAAGTTTTTTGAAAAGGCTAACGAATTAATAAACATACATATATAAATAAAATTATATGGATACTAAATGTAAAGCAGCTGATGAAGGGGGGATTATGGTATAACATAAAACATGTTTATCCATTTATCCTGAAGTTCAAACCTTAATATTGCTTGTTGAACTTGCTAAATGTTGTTTTTTAAGCTGATGCAAATCTCATATTATATTTTAGCTGTGAAGACACACAAGTGTAAACCCCATTCAGGGGTGTATAATAATTGTTTTTAACTATATTTAGGGTGGGATCCTGATAATACTCTTTGACTGGAGGTCACAGTTGAGACACCTTTTAATTCACCATTACATCACTGCTCGTGTCGTTTTACAGGGAATTCTTCGGCTCGGCTTCTATAAAGGTAACAGCTTCGCAGTTGTGTCTGGGTAATCACTTCTACGCAAACAGCAAATGGTGATTGGGTTGGTGTGTGATTGTGTGTGTGTGTGTGTGTGTGTGTGTGTGTGTGTGTGTGTGTGTGTGTGTGTGTGTGTGTGTGTGTGTGTGTGTGTGTGTGTTGTGAGGGGGTTACAAGCGCTATATTTATCTGATCCCCATGAGAAAGAGAAAGGAGCCTCTGCTTCAATTCACTTTCAGACACCAAAGAAGGTGCTGATGATGCAGAAGGCTTCTCCAATGTCACCGTAGCCTATTTTCTTCATCGTTGTTAGCATCACAGCATTAATATTAATTTTAGCATAGTTTTAGAATATGGTGTATTATTATTATTATTATTATTCTAAGTAATATTTTAGAATTCGATGTTTTTTTATTGGTTTCCACGTTACGTTTTCCTCACGTAATAACATGTAATTTGATAGAAAAAATATAAATATGAAGAAATACGGCCTATGTAATGTTTTTTTGATTTTGGTCGTTAGGTTTTTCTCATATGGACTATGTCTGAAATGTTCACATCGCTCTGAGACGGTTCAAAGAGATTGTTGGAGACACGTCTGGCACCACCAGAGGTCACTTCCAGGAATCAGGAGCATTTATTACCAAAATATGTCAGACATACAAGGAATTTGACTTGGCGGTTGGTGCATAACATCAGAAAGGGCGCAGTCACTCAATATCGTGCATATTTAGGGAATATATGCAGGAAAGTAATACACGAGTTTGTCAAATGCATGTTGTATTTCTATGACGCGTATTTAAAAAATAAATGTCAGAAAGAAAGTAGAAAGCATTCCAACAGCAAACTCACGCGACGTTAACACGCTTATCGTTAAAAGTATTTGGTTTTCTTCAGTCATAGCATGTGTCACGTGGTTACAGACACGGCTTGAGTCTTCCCAAATCAGGCTCCTTAAGCAAAACTCGTATTCTCCTACGCAGTAAAACCGCAGCGATGTGTCCGTTTGTGCAGGGGGGGGGTTCAAGCCGCTAGGGGGCGATAAGTGGCACGTGGCTCTACAGTAAGGATATCAAAAATCAAACAACTATGATTAACACATGGAGGCTATTCCTTCACAGACAATAAATCAATTCATTTTATTTAATCATATTGTACAATCAATTAATAATACATCTTCTCAAATCTAGAGTTGACTTTAAGGAAGACAAATTGAAATAAATTAAAATATGGCCCAATTGTTAACTTTCATTGCCAATAGTAAACATTTGTAATGTTGTGCGCCAATAATCACAGTATACCCACTGCTTTCATACCGAGTACAGGTTCAAATATCATGCATCTTTTACTAGATAAAATTAAATTGTTGATTTGAATTAATTCAGGGTTCCAGAGGCAGATGAAGGGAAGAAACAACCTTGAAAACTACCAGACGTCACGTGACCGTGATCCCACCAGCCAGTCAAAATCAGTTGCAAGCCACAGTCTTTATAAATACAGTTTGCATTGTGTGTTGGATTGCTGACTTGTTTTTACCAATAACTGAACTGAGAGCAGAAATAAATTAAGAAACATTGGAAGTATGACTAATTCACCAATACTTTAATTAATTTTCAATTTTCGGATTTACAGTATAAGTTAAAACAGGAGAGTGAGTTTTTTTTATACGTTATTGCTCTGTAAATATACATGTACCTTTGTGCCGGCTTAAGTGGGAGAAGCATTGACCTTGTTAGATACATCGATAGGAGGATATGTTCACTCATCCTTGAAACACCTACTCAATTATCTTATGATTCTTAATGCTCGTCCTATTAATCCGATCCACAGGCATTTATGTTATAAAGAGCGTCCACAGTTCCTATTCCTTCAAGTACTGAGCATTTAGGGGAGTTTTGAATATCAAGAAAAAAAATTCAAATGTTTTGAGTAAATTTATGGGTGATCCAAAGGCAGAAAAATATATTGCTCTTGCTTATATCTCCATAAATTACAATTTTGTGGCCCACGTATGTCAGGAAAAATGCATATTGCTGAAAAGGTGCCCATTTCTCTCAGGATTATACCCACACCATGTTTGTCCATACACCAAATCAATAGACCCCGTAGTGCTTATGCCACCTGCAGTGTTGCGTCAAAGGGACTCCAGTGTCTCAATAACAAAGGTAAATCCAACTGAACATCAAGTTGGTCACAAGTGAGTCCTGATCATAACAGCTGGGGTTTGTAGATGATTGATGAGTTTCAATATTGATCTGTAAGGCAACATGGTTGAGGAGTCGTTTTTTAAGAAGAAAGTCAAGAATGAACTTTCACACTGATTTAAACTTTGTTTTTCTCAGTGTAGTTCCATTTTCATTCCCAATTAACCATATTAGTGGTCTGTTTATAACAATACGTTTGATAGATGCAGCATTGACATTTGTCAAAGCTATACAATTGAAGGGGATGAAAATGTATGCACCAGCTTTTATGCTGAAAATGAATCCCGATCGTAAACATCCAGGTGATAACATTTCTTTGACACAAACCATCAGACGCAAATACCCGTTAAAGCATTTTGTAATAGGATTTCTCAAACAATTCAATGATGATGATACAATAAGGTTACATTTTGATTTATGGATATACTATTATTTGTTCTCATGTTAAGTAACATTTGAAAAAATAGCAGAAAAAACTCTGTGTCTGACTTGCTTTACCAAACTTGTCAGTTTATATGATAGACTGCAATGACATTGACAAGCAAGGCTCAGGCCTCCATAATAACTAGGTCATCTTCCACCAGAAGCCATAGCCTTCTTCTGGGCGGAGATCACAGACAGTAAATGTAGGTACAGCGGTTACTGAATATTTAAAAAGGCATAGAGATGAAGCAATAAATGACAAAGTAAAGCTGGCGTGGCCAGGCATTAATAACTAATGGATACCAGTGAGTTATAGGCTGCTGCCGTTGTAATGAAAGTGTCATTGCAAATCAGCAGTTGTCCGAGGTTATTATTATTTATGCATAATTGATGCCGGAACCCCAAGGAACGTGTCTTACCCAACAAATCCCAACACCTTGAGAGCAAAGACGGTGGAGTCAACAGAAGTAAAGGTCACAGAGGAGAATATTCCCCCTGGGCTGAGACTTACATTGTATAACCACACATCTGTATACAGAGGTTACAACAAACTATGACACACGGGAGAGCTGATCCACTGCTCCTCCACTCATGTATGATACCATAATGTTTATAATAGACAACATACTGAATTAAGTCAAAACAATCAGCTTTGAAAAAACAAGGATTTAAGTCCTTCTAATTATACACTCAATAGCATTAGTTTTCTTCGAACATGAAAGATTATAGTTACTTTTCCATGAGTCAACTGTGATTCATATTCGTTCCTTTGACTACATTCTTGTTGACTTCACAATATATTCTGTTATACTGACATTCAATATTAATCATGCAATATTCCCAATTTAAATACAAGAGTTGCCTGTACTTATATAGTAGTTATGGGTAATCTTTACTGTTGGGCCAATATTAATTGTCATGCAGAAATGGGACAACTTTAAGACCGTAGTATGGGGGAAAAAGGAGAAATTCTCTCATATTAAGTTATACAGTTTGTTCCACAGATTCTATTGTATCATTAGCGTAGCTTGATATTATAGTATTTGATATTCTCATTTACTGTTTTATGAAAGACTCCTATTCAAAGGGTGACCTCTGAATTCAACCTGAGGAATACGTTTTTGAAATATTAGTGGACAAATAAACCCTATAACAATGCACAATCTTCATATTTTTGCCACATAGCTCATCTCAACAAATGTTGCATTCATAAAAGCTGGGAATCTGAAATGTTTCAAATCAAATGAGCAAATATTAACAAAAACCTAATTAAAGACACATGGGATGTAACTTTAACTTTAAATATTACAAGATACCATTCAAACAATCCTCCGTAGCGACGGCGACAAATTGTTTCATAAAAATATTCCATCTTACCACATGATTCAATAGCTTGGTTAAAGAAAAGTTACAACTTTCACTTGATGTTCTTGAACGCCACATTTCCATGGCTGGATACGTCACCGTGCAGTGCCCAATGAGAACGCGCGACGAATTATTGGATGACGTACAAGGAAATGTACACGGGATTCAGGAGCAGACCGATTGTTTAGCTTTTATTTAAGGTCATTTACCGGTAAAAGTCATGCAAACGTGGAGCCTCGTATCAATTTGTGTGTTGCTCGCTCTTGTTGTGAGATGGGGCGTTTCTTTAAATTCATATTCAGGTAGGAAGAGTGAGAAATTCAACGTTAACACGTTGCACACATGTCACAACAGTCCACTGTTCGGTATTTCCGTGTAACTCGTTTAACGTTAATGTGTTATAGAATATCGACACAACGTTTTTTTCCCCCCACAAATTATAGTGTTGCTGTTTCTTGTGTGCGCGTGTGTATACGTGTTAAGTGCTGGCAAGCATTGGATTAGTTTCCCATTCATCAGACTGAGTGATGTTTCTCCAGGGGCGGGAAAACCTCCCATGTTCGGGGACTATGAAGCTCAAAGGCACTGGCAAGAAGTGACCTACAACCTCCCTCTCCAGGAATGGTCAGTCCCAAGTCTGTTTACTCAGGGGACTGAGGTCGAGAAAGTTTGGGCACCTGAAAGGAGCATGAGCCCTTTTCTGGGGGAAATTATTTTGTAATGATGAGATGCAAAAAACACTGATATAAATTTGGAATGGAATGACCAGATAATAATATCCCGAAAATCACCTGAAAAGTTCTTTAAAAAAGAAGCTGAAACTGCCTGTATATAATAGTAATGTACAGTTGCGCAGTTTCCTCCACAGTTCCAGATATGAATGCAGATTTTGTTTTCATACTCACCCAGGTACTTCAACACTACTGAGAATGACTTGATGTACTGGGGTCTTGACTACCCCCCTTTGACTGCCTACCACAGCCTGATCTGTGCCTACGTGTAAGTCAATTATTTATTCAGAAAGTACATGTTAAAGGACATAACTACTGCAGAGCATGAATGTATGAATGTTACGAGTTTCCATATGATGTTTCTACTTGTTTCTGTATTTGGTTCTACTGTCTCTAAGCAAAAGAGCTTGCATGTCATTTTAGGCTTTCATTTTTTTAGGGATGCTATAATATCTTTCTACTATATATATATATTCCTGCAGGGCCAAGTCGATAAACCCTGAATGGGTAGAGCTTCACAAATCCAGAGGTTATGAAAGTCCAAAGCACAAGTTATTCATGAGAGCTACAGGTAAAGTAACCATGAGAAGATAAATGTAAAAGCTTGACAAAGGATGATATACGGGATAGATGGATGTAAACTTAATGTTAAATTGTCCAACATCTTCAATGTGAGGTTAGCGGCAACTGTAAGACAAATGCAAAGGCGAAAGCACCCATGTCTAACACGGCCGGAAAATTCTTCAGAAATGTTTGGAATTTTAAAATGTAAAATGTGTTTGAACCCTCTTGCTTACTAATGTAATTCAGTTGTTTGGTCTTTTTCAGTCTTGGTGGCAGATTTGATTTTATTCATCCCTGCTGTGGTTTTATACTGTTTATATCTGACTGATGGATCCTCCAGAAAGAAGGTGACACACTTGCCTTACATGACTTGACATCTAAAGTTTTTTCAACAAAAAACCCAGTTGAGCCTCATTTTCCTCTTAGCGTTGCCCTCATTTGAAATTATTACAGTCCTGGCCATCCAGAAGAAGAAATTCATCATTGAAAATATACCATATTACATTTTCCAGGAAGTTATGGATGCATGCAAACATTTTCAATACAATCAGTTAAGAGGTATCGTCACATTTTATTTGTCTTCAATTCTCACTTATAAGATGAAACAGACAGATACCAGGTTTGTCTATAAAGAGGCATCAGGCTATCGCACTACGCATTGCCCTTTTCTCATCGCACCGTTGGACAGGTTTACACAACACTGAACAAAGAAAACGGCTTACTTTATTTTAGAGTTGTCATGCAATAAAGTCTGTTTTACCTTCCAACACTAACAAATACATGCTCTTTTTCTCTAGGTGTCTACTCTGTTCTGCTTCCTTCTTTACCCCGGCCTAATTCTCATTGACTACGGACATTTCCAGTATCTTTTTATGTACAAATATATTTACAATATTTATTTACTGTAATATGAGATATCATTATTGTTATTTGTTCTGACGACTGACGTGAAATATAGACCTTCAAAGTAGCAAAGCGTGGCTTTGATAGAGTTATAAAACAATTACAAAAAGCCCCATCAAACACAAAAATAATAATCTGAACTAACTGACACTGGATCAGCTACTTGTCCCACACCAGCACACTAAGCTGTTTACACGACATTGACCTTGACCCATTCAGGTACAATGGAGTGAGTCTGGGCCTTGCCCTGTGGGGGGTTCTGGCTCTGGGTCTGGGCTGGGATGCATTGGGCTCCTTGGCCTTTTGTCTGGCTCTCAACTACAAACAGATGGAGCTGTACCACGCGCTGCCCTTCTTCTGCTACCTGCTGGGGAAGAGTGTCCAACTGGGCCTGATGGGGCGAGGGTGAGTCGGTTTGTTTGTGTTTTTTTTTTTTTTTTTCAATCACTTGAAGAGGCAGAAACTGCATGTTTCCACTGTATATCTTATTGTTGTCCCCCTGCTGTTTTAGAAAATGGTTGGTTTTTGTGATTGCTACCATAAAATCAGCATGTCTATTTGCTCAGATGACGTGAGACGCTCCTCAAGCTTTCCAGCCAGCTGTTTAACTGCAGAGGAAAAATGTCAAAGTTTAAGCCACAGTTCATTGACATTAAAGTGCGACCAAAGAGTTAATCATGTGAGAACTGACAGGTCAGGAAAAAGGAGCAGTGCAGCAAAACGGGTTTCCATCTACTGCCCTCTTCAAAGAAAAGAAAGTGAGATACAGTCAAACGTTAATTCATAATAAACAAAATTATTTAGTTGTTGTGTCATTATACGGTTTTGTCACTCAGCAAGTGTCGTGTGAGCTCTCCATGCAGATACGTAATGTCAGTCTATAAGCGAGCCGTGTCCTCAGGGGAGCCACAGAATGACTGAGGTAATCAGATTGGATGCGGTTACCAGTGTGTCCAGTGTCTGTTTATCTAGTAACAATGTACCAAGGGCATTTAGTAGCAAATGGAGAGCTGGATTAGACGGGCCGGGGAGATATGTCCAGATGACACTCTCGCTATGCCCAAACTTCTCAGCTATGCTGCGTGTGCAACTTAACCAGCAGCTTCACGGCTACAGCTGACGAGACGGCCTGACCCACACCGAAGACTTCCAGCTGAGGCATTGCTTTCACTGCATTCCTCTACGCAAGGGTCAACTCCCAATTTTAGAACCTACAGACAGAATGTAGACATTTCCGAGTACATAAAGATATATTTAATATACTGGAAATATATAAAGATAAATGTATGTTCATATGAATTTAAGCTACTGGCTAATGCCAATGTTTTGTATTTTCTTTTTAAATATATTTATCTATTTGTTTATTATTGAGGGTATATCTGTACCTCCTGCACTTGTGACCGTCTTCATGTAGGCTTTTCCTGTTGGTGAGAATTGCTTCAACAGTGCTGGGGACCTTTGCCCTCTGCTGGCTGCCCTTCCTGTCCGACCCCGATCACGCCATGCAGGTGGTCAGGAGGATCTTTCCCGTGGCTCGCGGCTTGTTTGAGGTACAGTAGAGTTCCTTTAATTGGAAGTTGGCCTGTGAACCACATCACAATCCCAATGTGCCATTTGAATTCAATATTTGGCCCATTAATGTAACACCACTACGGACTGGAGATCAGATGATGCACACGAAATGTCCTGTGTCCGTTTTCTCTGATGGTGACAGTGTGTATCCCAACTGTCAGGTGTTTGATAGTAATTAAAGTCCAAAATAAGATCTTACTTTTACTCTCACGTCAAAGTAAGGGACTGCACAAAAATCATTAGAGGGGGGAGGAGAGTCTGAAAATGTCACGGGTTGTGTGTGTTTTTTTCCTGGAGAGCAGATGGGGGTATTTAATTTTTCTCTCAATGTGGCACTCGTCGTGTCGTACACGCTGCTCCGTGTTCTCTCGGCATGAACTCCCTCCGCCCTGCACTGCTTAAACGGTGGGAAATGGATACCCTGCAGGATCAAAGAAAACAGTGGAATAAAATGGTGAAAGGTCAGGAGATCAGTTTCACTCTATCTCCGGGAGGTGTTGGGGTTCGGGAGGTACAGTGATCTCAATAATTTATGGCTGGGGTGTTTTCAGCACTACATTGCAACGCCATGTTCTAGCCTTATGGACTGAAGAGGGGGGCTAACGCTACATCTGAAGGGGTATCAGGGCACATACGACAACTGTTGCCAAAGCCGGCCATATCTTTGGAAAATAAATAATTATGATATGCAGTTTTTTTTAGCCCGCACACATATATTATATCTATTATTATTATTATTATTATTATTATATATATATATAATTATATATACATATGCGCCGTGGTCAATCAGTCATTGTCTCTTAAAGAAAGGGCACTAATATTTATTGAAAAAGAAAGCGATGGTGGACATCGAAAGGCTTCGTCTGGCCGTGTGAAGAGCTGTCATAGCAGCAGCAGTGGTAAAGTAACGTTGTATATTTCTGTCCTTGCATGTGTGTCTGACGGCTCAAGAGGCCAAAGTTTGCAGCTCTCCTTTCTGGAACCCCGTATCCGTCCCCTTGCTCCGGTCCCTCCAGGTGGCACCCATCGCAAGGTGTCACGGATGTGAGAAGTAATTGAAAATTCTACCAGGGGGAGCAGATGGCACCCTGTGCGGTGGCAGTATTTGTTCAGTGAAATGATGCAAACATAATACACAGGGTGTGAGAGACACTATACCCCCCAGCGGTGAGAGCACGAGAGTCATCCCGGACTAATTGTGCACGTAAGCAGGAGCTTTGGACAAGGGGTGAGGCGGGGCGGCGGGGACGAAGTGGGCCGCTGGCTGGTGGTCGCTGGTTGTAAGTTTACCCACCGAGACGCATTCTGCCGTCTCGCGTTGCCGCCGGCTCACAAAAATGGCACCAAATGCTTCCCCATGTGAAATTCCAGGCCAGCCTGTAGGTGAAGGACCCCCCCTCGCTCACCGTTCATGTGTGGCCCTCAGGCGGCATTCAAGGAACATTCCCGCGGCGGTTATTTGGAGCAGGGTGGCAAAGAGGAAAGGGTCCGGGATGGGGCCGAGACAACACCACACTGGACGGCCCGGTGCTGCTGACCAGGCTGCCTTAAGAGCCACACAGCTGTGCTGCGAGCAGCTGTAGCGCAGAGGGAGAAGGCCAGAAATACTTTTTCTAGCCAGGGCCACACACTCAAACCATTCAGAGTGGAATCGTGAAGCTGATCCACGCACGCGGCCTCTGTGACGTGTGATATCATGGCTCTCAGTTTGCGGCTCGGGCCCCAGTATCATCTGATCCCTGCACAACTGTTAAGCGCTTAAATCAACTGAATCGCTCAGCAACGCCCTCCTCGTCTCCTAAGAAACCACGTTAAGGCTTTAAAGTGCCTTCCATGTTATTCACAGCTGATTTAATGTTTATTTAAACAAATATGTATCTCTGTTTTCAGCTTCTCAAATGTGATGATTTCCTGCTTCGGTTTGACCTGACAAAACTTTCAGCAATTTACTGTACTCAAATGTTAAAATGAGAAACTAACCAGGTTAAATTACGTAGAGTATGTCTAACATGTTGACATCATATATTTTCCAGTAGTCGTCTTTGGTTGGTTTCTATCTGCTAGTTTATGCAGAAACCTCTCAGGTTTGACACTTGACCTTGAGTTCCACAGTTTGCAAATAAGTCCCATGCTTTTATCTGACAGGGAGTCAATTTATGGTGCAAGGTTACACACAAATGTCCCTCTGGAATGCTGTGTGGAATTTTTTCTTTCCACTTTCGATGGGGAAATAATTATTTTCAGCAATGCCAATCATGTGTTTGTTTTTAAATGGAACCAATTATTTTTTATAGACCGGCATCTAGACGTGTTGACTTTAAAATTGTTTTTGAGTTCCATAATTTCTCCTTCAACCAAGGTGTGTGTGTGTGTGTGTGTGTGTGTGTGTGTGTGTGTGTGTGTGTGTGTGTGTGTGTGTAAACAGGATAAGGTGGCCAACACATGGTGCAGCTTAAACGTCCTGGTAAAGGTCAGATACATTCTGTCCAGTGACTCCCAGATCTACCTCAGGTAATCCCTCGATCCATCTAACAAACTTGCCCGTCTTTCTCCATCTTTCCTTCTTTCTTTTGCTTGACGGTTTTGTATCTTTTCTTCCTCAGCCTTCTCGTTTTTTGCTCCGTGCGCCCTAGAGGAATTAAAATTGTTATCCAGCCGGGTGGAAATTAAATCATCCTTTAAAAAATCCCATTGAGAGGAACTTCTGAACAAATGTGACGATAAGAAGAGATGGAAACTAGATTTTTTCTGCGTGTTTGGATTAGTTATTTTTCCTAAAAGCTGAAAGCCTGTTTGTTTATGACGAGAAAACAGTTGTGTCATGGTGGAGCCTGCTTGAATAACCCAGCACGCTAAATTTAGGAGTCCTAACGTTTGCGGCACGGACACGTTTCGGCCAGACTGCTGAGTCTGGGGATCAACTTGGACTTCTTTGACTACAGTCAAGTGCGAAACTCTTGTCTTTTGGGCTCGAGGAGCGGATTGGCTAAATGCTCTGCTGTGAGCATCTGTGCAAATAAAATCAATCAGCTATGGAAGAAAAAGTGATCAATGTCCTTCTGGACTGCAGAACCCTGCTGAAACATAACACACACACACACACACAGACAATCTCTTGTCATTCGCACTAAATCCCCACTTACTTGAACTGTAGTGCTATATATGCACCACTAGCCCTACTGCTGTCTATCTACAGCTATCAGGATCCCTGTCCATATGTACGTGTTGTGGTACAGACACATCGTTGCCCTCACGCCTTGAACTAACTCGCTGCTCCGCCTACTCGGCACATTCCCACTGACACGTAGTCACTCTCTTCCGCTGCCTCCACCCCCCCCAGCAGGTGACAATTGAAGGGTTAAACTAATGCCTGTAACCCTAAGAAGGGGCCAGTATTTGGTCGCTTCCCACATAGCAGAGGTCTTGGTTTGCGAAGCAGGCCGTGCCTAAAAAAAAAATCAACACGGGAAGATGGATCCACAGTTATATTTTGACTTTTATTTGTCGTTTTACATCAATATACTAATTATCAATCGCAGTGACTGAAGAGCAATGTTGTGTCATATAATTATGTCTTCATCTCTCCCTGAGGACGCATATAAGTGGGCTGATGTGAGATGATCTTCGTTGCTGTTTGTATTGTTTTTCAGTCTTGCCTGCACTCTCCTGGCAGTGCTACCATCCTGCGTTAGACTTTTGACAAAGCCCACCTTCTGGCAGTTTAAACTGGCCTTGGTGAGTAGCATCTGATAGCAACTGATGCCAAAACAATAACAAGCTGAACGTATGAACCGCACTATGTTATCCAGTATTATTGTTCAACAATTGCTTTTGTCACTTTTAGGCAAATTCGTCTTTGGCGTTTTTCCTCTTCTCCTATCAAGTCCACGAGAAGTCCATCCTCTTGGTTGCCTTGTAAGTACAGAGGTAATACTTCTCAAGCTTTTGTCTCACACTGCAATTTCTCGTCCCGCGACAGTAACAAACACTACTTTTACCTTATCTGTCTTGTAGCGATGCCTCAAACATTGATGAGTGTAAATGTGATTACTGCTCAGAAATGAGCCATTTGATCGTCCCCCCCACTTCAGAACACAGTTCATGCCCTGCAGATTGTTAATGAGTTGAATATGTGAGACTCTGTAAAAGTGACATCATCCTCCTGCTGAGTTCCTCCCTCTGCAGAGGAACCATCTATTTAAGTACAGACCAGCTAACCTCTGCCATCATACAGGCATAAAGGCAGCAGTACCAGCTTCCCGTGTCACCATTTCACTAAATGTCTGCAAACAAATCTGATATATATATTTAAATATATTAGTATATTAGGGCTCATCTATTCATCTAGATTAGGTTTAGATTGTTGCTTTATTAACTATTGAGTGATATCTCCCACTTGTGCGCCGGAATCAATCAGTTATGCTTGTGCCGGGATTAGAAAAGCATGGCAGGCGGCAGCTCTGGGCATTGTTTGCACACGATCAATTATTGGGCCGTAACAGGATCGTACTGGCTGTAGTTATGGGCTCGGGGACCAGTGGAAAGTGTCCTCCTCAGAGCAGTGTACAGCTATCCAGCGCTAGCTATGATGCAGCCAACTAGGGTCAGTTAACAACGTGCCTCCACTAGATAGAAACACACACACACACACACACACACACACACACATACATGCCATTAAGGCATCATTTTATCATCCTGGCAAAAATATTTCACACCTTGAATGATGAATTTGAATACTAGGTTTAAATGTTGGATTCATATCTTGGATTGGATTCAATGCCAGGGCAGTTGCAGTAAAAATCTGTAAGATAATGTGGTTTTAAAAAAACAAGTCAATAATTGATGGGGGGCCTATCGGGTCAGTCGCTTCAATATTATGCACGCATGATGTAGGTTGACATGCAGCTGTGACCTAACGTGGCCTCACTGTCTTAAAGCAACAGGAAATTCAGAGGTGCTTACAGCTGACTGTGTGTTTAACAGTACGTCCAACTCTGATCTTTTCCAGGCCTGTCTGCCTCCTGCTGAATGACCTCCCCCTGGTGGCTATTTGGTTCCTGCATGCGTCTACATTCAGGTGAGACTGTGGGGAAGAAAGCCCACTGTTACTAAACACAGGTAGAAGACGGATACGAGCTGGGTCCTTATTATTTTTCATCAGAGGTAATTCACTGTAGCTTTTCTGTGCATAATCTAAATGGTTTTGGGGTTTGGGATTCAGGCCCCTACGAATGTTTTTGTTGTCGTCATGTGGGGAACACATTGCATTCAGTTAGAGCCATTACCGCTGATGGTTTCTTTCGCTAGCAGTTAGTTAGTTAGTTAGTTAGTTGAGCATAAAGATGAGTAAACGGGGGGAAACCTGCCTTTTAAAGGTCACTTATTAATAAATGATATCTTAATCCTTTCAAAATCCCAAATATAAAAAAAGCATGGGTTGGTTTTTATGGAGGGTTTTATACCAAATTCTTTCTCTGTTGCCAATAAGCTACATAATGTTACGGATTTTAGTGAGTCAGTTCACTGAATCTAAATATTTTCTACTTGTACTATTATTAAATTTAGTTGAAATAATTGACCCTTATTCCATAACTTGTCATTTGTGGCCACAGTGTTCAGGGTCTTTCTTTAAGAAATCCCCTGTGGGACGTCCTGGGAGCTTAGCTGGCACGTACCACATGACTGCACCTCTTTTCATTTCTCACCACTGTTAACTATCAAATGAGGCACTAAAAACATAAAAGGATCTTCGATGTGAGTTGAGCTGAGGACCGTGAATGGCAAAGACAAGTAGTGCCGTCTAACTTTCACCAGCTGTTGTTAAATTCTTCCGGCAGCACTAATTGTTGTGCGTGTGGTTTAGTATAAGGATATCTGGGGATTACGCAGCATAGCCTGCATGCCTTCTGTCTAAGTGCGCGTTGTATAGGGACAGGAGGTCATTCTGTAGCTGCTTCACAGTACAGTCTGACTTGGGTTTTCACATTATCTGCATCCTCACCGACTCCCCCTTAAAGAAATACATCTTTTGTCTGCACAATTGGTTGAACGGATGCGCAACCATAGCAATTTTAAGAGGACAGAATGCAGCCAGTCTGTTTAAATTGACAAAGTATGTATTTCCAAATTGTTAAACATTTGTCTGCCTAATGGGTTTTTTTCATTTTGTTTTTTTCCCCGTAAGAGTAACTATGCGAATGAGTGGTCTCTTTGTGAGCGGATGGGTTTTTACAAGCTGGGGTGAGGTGCGATTTGCTATGAGTCAACTGTTGTTCTTGTCCATGTCCCTCTGCTAAACTAAGATAAGCTGGGCATGAATGTCAGAGCCATCTCTCCCCAGGGGACTGACTGCTTGTGCAGGCTGGTTCGAAGCTATGTGGTTCACTGTTGCCCTCAGCAAACACGACACTGAAGATATGAAGGTATATCATCTGTTGCAGAAGTGTGTTTTCACAGCTGCAGCTCCGTAGTCCGTACTCGCTCTGCTTGGAGTCACTCAACATGAGTCAGGTTATTGTACGTCACGTCAAACCTCATTTTTTAATCATGAAATGCATTACTGCTCTTGTCCTTGTCCCTCTGTGCAGCATGATGCCTCTGTTTCTGAGGGACGGTCTGCTGGTGCCTTACGTTGTGACCTCGCTGGCCTTCCTGTACTTCAGCATCTATTTACTGTCTCCACTGGAGCATTGTTCAGAGGATACCTTGAGACTGGGAGTCTACCGCAAGCTGCTTTTCTTCCTCCCCAAACTGGACCTGGCCTGGATCGTGAGATGGAAGGTTAGTGAGGTCCGAGCCCCGGTACGACGACTCACACACGGCGGCACAAATGTTTCAACAACCAGGCTACGTTCATGTTAGATTGAAGCCTTCCAGTAGCATTTTTTAATCTGCTTTTGATGTATAAATGCCTTTTTTGTGATTTATATCAGTTACATTTTGTTGGTCAACCTGCAGAGCTTTTGGGGATGTAGAATCCCACAGATTTGTGAAGGAGGCAGACATTTATATCAGAGTGGTTGCAGCTCTAATTGGCTGCCAATACATCCAATACGTCATGCAGATTACCTATTAACACAGAGAGGTAAGGCAGTCTTGTAGGTCTTCCTCTTTTTTCCCCCAACAATGTGGCAGAAGTAACTTTTAGCATCTTTCAAATGATGTTTTTAGAGACAATCCCACTAAAAGCTGGTGTAATGTCCGCCTTCAGCCCATTCACAGCATTGTTGGCAGGTCAGTTGGCGTGATTTCTTTTTTTGACATTACCGCAAGTAGTCGCCAGAACCGAAAATGTTCTAATCCGACACACATGGTCCGTAAGTCTAAAGCGTGGTTTCCTTTTACTTCTGGCTCAGGCTCAGTGAACTAAGTGGAGATGTAGCTGCTTGATTCTGTTATTAGTTCCTGTCGGGCTCTTGTACATGGGTGGAGGAGGATGCACAGCTGATGCGTTTGTAATACGACGGGGGCTGTATTTAAGGTCCCGGGTGGCCTGTACTTTGAAAGAGGCACAAGACCTAAATTGCAATCGCGTGAAGAGATATACCCAACTGTATAAATAAATATCATGTGCCGCAGTAAGTTGTGTAAGCCGTCCGGGGATGAAAGAGGAATAATTTCTCACTTATTTAAGTTTCCACAGCGTCTGAAGTGGCTGTGCTGCCTGCCCCTTAGCGACAGGGGCTCCGGTAGGGTGTCAGAGATTAAGAGGAGGTGTCTTTTTATAGCGCGCGTCATTAACACAGGTTTGCCTAGATATATTTATTTACACAAGCAGTGTAAATAGCTAGCCCCAATGTTGGCGATAAGGTTTCATGGGTTCGGGGGCCTGAGTTGCTCCTGCATCTCACTCACCGACTTATCTCTGGCTCATAAAGCCAAGATAGACACATGAACGAGCTCCCTCTCGCTGGCAGTTTTGTTTGCAACTCTTTTAAAAAGGCAAAAAGTCGTTTTGGAGGCCTCGATTCAAATTTGCTACTCTGCAGTGTGACTTTTTATAGCAACGCTGGCCAATTTCATGTAATTCATCCAGTGATGAATATGCAATGTCATTTGAGAGCTCTGTCAAATGAATCAATTAGCTGGTTAGATAACATAGTTAGACTTAAAATGAGGGGAAAGCTAACAGTTTGTTCTTGGCCTCAGGTGACTGGTCCTTTTCGTTTAAAATGAACAGTTTCTGGTTTGACAATCAATTCAGTCATCACAAAATAAGCAATTCAGCAAAGAGCTGTTGCAGGGGCATCGCTGTACTTTAATGAGGCTGGAATATCCTAAATTCTAATCTATGAAAAGGTCAAATTTAAAGGATTCTGGGTTCTTTGCTTGATTTGCAATGCAATTTTTATTAAACTGTCACTGGACCTCCACATCTTTAAAAGTCCAGGGCTCAATTTGCAATGCAGGGTTTCTGTCAGCTTCAAACTATTGAAGTCTTCTACCACAACCATGCATGGCATCATCCTATGGTTTTTTGACGCCATCTTGTTGGTAAGAGCTGATTAATTATGTGCAGCTATATGCGCAGTAAGTTCGAGCATTTTAAGACAACTTGCAGAGAAACAAAAGTTGTGCTGCACTACAGAGGCGATATGTTAATACGGTCTTGACAAAACGCTAATATACGATTGAGGAGTAAAGGTCTCACTTGACCTTTTAACATTATTTGATCCACATTCAACCACTTTGTCGTGGAGATGGTTCACTTGACAGACATGGGTTTCAATCTCCCGTTAACATAAAACCTCCTGTTATCACGTGACCGAGGTGCCATGTCTAGGTCACATCATGACAACTGAGGCCTCTCCACAAAAACCCAGCGAACCCAATCATCAATGAAGACACTGACATGTGGTTGGGAGCTCAACAGAAAAGCTAGTCGAGATATTTTTGTCGTGCAGACATTTAGTCTCTTTAAAGTGGCACCTGACCCCCAGTCTGGGTTTGTGAAGACCCATTATGAGCTCATCCCAGTGCATCTTGTGCTCTTTGAATCAGTTGATGACTCCGCTTCCTGTCTGTGTCACAGTTCTACATCAGCGTCGCGGCCACGGCGGGTCTGAGCTTTGTGACTGTCGCTCTGGTTCCTCCATCACATCTGCCTGACCTGTTCCCTCTGTTGGTGACTTCTACCGCTTTCCTGCAGTTTTTGGGAACATTTATATATTTGAATATTGTCCAGTTCAGCGAGCCACCAAGCAGGAAGAGCAACAAGAAGAAGAAGTGATGGAGCCAACGGCGGTAATATGCACAGCACATTTCTGTTTAAGCTCGTATTCCTTCAGGGAGGCCAGTGATGCACCGTTGTTTACATCTGCTCGCTGTGTTCATAAAGGCTTTCCATCGAGACATCTCCATCAAAAATCAAATTAATTGGGGAAAATCAATCATTTAAGTCAATTTGGATGAATAAATGACAGAAGTTGATACTGAGCATTGTGCTGCTCCTCCTGCATCATAGTAGATTGGACATCTTAAAAAGATTATTTGACTTCACCTTGTTACACCTTGTTACAGACATGGGTATTGACTAAATGATTAGCTGATTTGCATATTAATAAATAATATGTACATACAACCCTACATGTATGCTTCATAATGAGATATTTTGCCCCCGTCCTCCTGCCCCAAAAAATGATTATATATACGTAAATTGCGCACATAACAGATTGAGAAAGTAAATTCATAAAATCAGTCCCTTTTTTTATTTATTTTTTTTACCAGATCTCATTCTGAATTTTGGCTTGGACCAATGATACTTAACCCTTCAACCCGCACTGTAGCTGGCTAATGGAACAAGTACAAACATTGTGTGGCCTTCACACATGAACGCTGACAGCTCTATGTCTGTACACTGCAGCTACGAGGGGCGGCCACATTAATATAATAAGAACACCTGTTGAGAGGTTTACTCCTGGTTATTACTAAGGTGGGGACTTTCATTTTGTGGTAACTTTTAACGCCATAGTTTGTGGTGGGGCCAAACGTATTGATATTGAAGGGTGTTCTGCTGTTGCTATTGTCCGACATACCCATTCCGGATATGACTGGTCCCAGGTCAAGAGGTAACTGTTGATCATAATTCATGTGAATATTTTTTTTACCGTTTTCTACAGTCATTTATTTTTAATCCAAAGTTGAATTTCTTTTGTACAAACCTAGTTTTTGTGAAAATAAATAAAATTCCTCAATGACTTTTAAGTGAACACCAGTTTTATTGCCACATTGTTAAAATGATTTAATTTTGAGCAGCTTCATATAAACTGTCTACATTTACCAAGTAGTCCGCTAAATCACCCGTAACAGCCGGGCAGAGACAGAGCCAATAATTGGACAGAAATTATATCTTTCAAAGCTTTTACTCAACATCATTAAATATTCATTACTAGTCCTGGATACTACAAGGGCCCTGCACAAAAAAACCTGTTCATTTAAAACAAAACCAGCGACAGGACAGGCCTTAAAAAGAGATGATGGAAGGTGACATATCTGAACATAATGCCATAAAGTTGAAATACCACAGAAAAAAAAGGTACAAGCAATTTTTTTCTCCAATCTCTGAGCGAGTTAATGACGGGCATAAAAAAATCCATTACAACTATAAATGTTATCGGGTCGGTGAGGGTGGCCTGTGCATCGAGGCTCCAGGCCGGCTGCCAATAATGAGACACGGGGACAAATAGGAGCCCAAGATCTCAGTTAACTGTTACTACAACAGGACGTGGACGCAAGGGGGCAATTAGAGGTGGTGCAAATGTGTTGGCATGCCCTTAAACTACGTGTGTTTGTATAAAGTCATGCCAGTTCATTTAGGAAGATGTGAGGAAAATGGGAACTCACCTACCAACCTCTGTGAAAAGGGTCAAAGAAAATCAATACTATTACTAGTAAGTTATTAGTCCAATACAGCCAGATGACTAATGCATGCATTCAAAACAATAACTTCTGGTCTACCTCAACAACTGGGAAACTCATCTGCAGAAGGAAGATTGTTTGATACAATCAAAAGCAGCAGATAAACAACAATTTGGATAAATCATTTAAATTAAGTATTTAGTAAAAAGCTTCTCGAATGTGATGTTTTTGTGCTTAATTGTACATTTGGGTCATTGAAATGTTTTGGAAATATCTGTTTGAATAGAAATGGAAATTTGAAGACAGCTTTTTGAAATTTTTATTTTTCACAATTCTGAAATAAACAAATGAATTGAGATATATTACACATCCTATTACATACAACCCATGTATAAACCGTGTGTAAACCAGACACTCGAAGGAAACACACTGCGCAGTCTGACAACACGCTCACAGCCACAGAACAGAATTATTAAAGCTACAAAACATAATACTCATTGAAGCGAGCTGTCTTATCAGCCGTGCGTCAACACTGCTCGGTTGCAACTGTTATGAGACAGATTGGGTTTGCAATTGAAGTACTCGTATATAAAAGTGTCTCATTCAGCAACTTCAGCCTGATAAAATATCCAGTTCCATCTTTTTCATTGTCAGGTCTCCCGGCGCCGCCTCGTCTCTGCCTGAGGAGGATGCGTGTGACCAGTTACAGTAGTGACGTTAACCCTCGTAGCTACGACTTAGTGCCATGAACAAAACCTCCCCACGGGACCCCAGATTACTAATACACACAGCGAGCCTTGAGAAAATAAGCCAACAGCTTTAGATCTCAAACTAAGAAGGGAAACTGTCGGCAAGAGATTATTTGTGACGCATCATTGGAGGGAAAAGCGGGCATTAAAAGCAGCAATCATCTTCCTACCCATCTCCTCAGGGGCCAGTATCAAAACATTAGTTTTGTTTATGAGCGTGATAGCTTTGTCCTTCACGTGGCCTCTAAGGGCGATAAAGTGAGAGTTACACGATCCACCTTGAGCAGAAATAGGAAATGTTGCTGTGAACACCAGCTGTTGCTTAGGTCGACACGGGCAGCGAGAGGCCTCGGCCTTCCCAGGCACTGCCAAATAAAGAGACTACTGTCTTGTGCAAGACAGCCCCCCCCCACTCCCCTCGCCCCCCCGCCCTCACCTTTACTTTTCAAAGGTGGTAAACCGCAAAGGTGGGAAGGATTGCATGGTTTCAGCCGCAGAGGGGGATGTGTGTGTTGCCATCTGGAAGAACATTGTTTGCACAGCGTCGTGGTTAATGTAGAGTCAACATTCGTCAGCTGCCGCGCCGAGGCTCCGGCGGGCGGACGGGGGTCTGACATGCCAGAGGGTCTCGCCTCTCACCGTTTCAGGCGCTTCTCTCGCAGATGAATGGCGGCTTCTGAGACATCTCAGCCTCTCAACTGACAGCACGGGGTGCGCATTTGTTTCCCGCCTCATCTCCGTGGGATCATAAGCACAGGAGGTGAAGAGCAATTCCATTAGCTGTCAACAGCCCGAAATAAAAACCAGGGGAATACGGAAGAGGAAAACATGATTGTAACCCCACTGGCACCCTGTGATGTTACACACACACACAAACACACAAACACACACACACACACAGTCACTGTCAGCACTGTTCATGAAGATGAGGGTAAACCGGAGGCATATTTTGCCACATAGCGAGATGCCCCCTGTCTCGCCAATTCCTGAAAAATGAGAAAGTATTAAATGGGTCTACATTGCCGTCTTAAAATTGTATTCTTTGATAAAGCTAATCAGTCTTTTTATTTAACTGTTATTTGGTTATAAAACAAGCCCCTTTCTTTGCTTGCCGTGTTAATATTTCAAAGAAACATGCAAGAATATGTTTTGCACCCTGTCTCCCAGAAATCCTGCGAGCCACGTCGTCGATCGAAGGCCCGGCGGCTCCACTTGGACCAAACCGTCTAATATACAACTCCCTCCCCCCCCCCACCAACCCCCCCCTTCCTCTTTTACTGTTAACCGTGTGTTCAATCAGAAAGCATAAAACTCCCGGTGGCATCAGTCGGTAAGGCCCGCTAGGATTGATGTGTGTCATGTGATGATTCTGGGAGCGGCCCGCAACGCAGCCACATCACTTTTATGACTTCTTAAGGAATCTTCTTTTTTAATACAGCCCATTACTGCCCACATACAAATCTTGCCCAACACGACCCGTTCTGTGGGATGATCAATTTTTACACTGCTGAGCCGTCCCCTTTCTCCTCATTTTGTCATATCAAAATTCATATTATATTGGATTTTCTTATGGGAAAACTGCAATAAAAATACGTTAGGACCCTGAAGATGTGCACAAGTCAGGTCTTGGCTTTTGCTTAAAAGCTTTGGAGGAAATAAAATTTGTTTCTGCAGTAAGCAGAACTGTTTAAATGTTATTTATTTTTATGTTCCTAAGAAAATATATTGTGAGGTGCAGCATTGATTCCGAACATAACCATGTCTCGATACGGGTTGGAGGAGCTGAATTTATGAATCCTTTGCACAACTCCTTTAATTGAATTTTCCAAATCTCTCACCGCACACAAATAATCAATACCCACAGCCGAGGGAAACTTGCCTCAGAATTATTAGGGTCTTTCTTTTTCAATTTTGTAGTCATCAGCACATACAGGTGCTGCGGGTGTTTGTAATGACGCAACTGTACCCGGAGGATTTATGCTCCACGCGAGCCTGATTGCTCACCGAGAGAGACTTCTTTAGATTGCTTACTGAAACTTTTGTTAAGCTTAAAAGACGGTCGTAAGCGCTTCTCAACCCTGCGCTCTCAACGTGGGGGAAGAAGAAGGAGGCTGGTTTAAACGACTATCAAACCTTAAGACGGAAAAGGTCGGGGTCAGAATGTGACGGGGAAGAAGGCATCGAAAGGGAAGCGAGATTGGAGGATTGACCTCCAAGGTTTGGATGTCCTCATGGATTTACTCAGCTGCCAGGGTGGAGGTTTGGGGCGGGGGGGCGACTTGGCACCTAAGAGACGGGAGAGCCTGGCGTACGGGGTCCGAACATGCAGAAAGGGCTCTTCCTGGTGGGTGGTAGCTGCCATGGAAGGTGTTTTTACCACTAGTAAGTTCAGACCAGCAGCCGGTTGTGGTCTTGATTCTAAGGTGCAAACCAGTCCAGTCTCTGCATCTCTACACGACTCGGGTAAAGATAACTTGAAATCCTATTGCAGTGTCTGAAACATGGTTCAATGTTGCTCTGTAAGGGTGATTAGAGTTGTGCTCCAACACCAAAATGTATGAAAGGACATGGGTTCCGTTTTATAAGAATAAGAAACACCACCGATTACTCCTCTGTCCTCATGAAGCCCTTTTTAAAAGAGCATCTTACACATTCCTCCCTTGTATTCAGCACATGAACCCAGAACCCAAAGGCCATGGCAGTGAATCCAAACTAACATTTTACACTCCAGCATGCTTTAAGATACAAGCATTATCCGTCTGGATCCCCCCTCCCCCTCCCCCCTGAGGCTGTAGGCCGGAACTCAGCAGCTTTGAATAACAGTTTGTTTACTTAAGCTGTGTGTCTCAATGCACATAGAGGGCCAATTCTCCCCTACATCTATCTGCCCTGACGTTGTGAAGTCTGTTGTTGGAAGGAGACTGGTGCAAAACTGATTAATTTCACAGATCCACCATGTGACAAAAATGTGACATTCCTGGGGTGTGGATCCACAATGCATCGTGTATGTTCTGCTCCCTCACTAGAACTAATTAAAATAATTTCTGACAACCTTATCGGAAAACAAGCTTGCCTTCCGACAATACCCCCTATTCATTTTCTACAAGTCCCCATTGTATGATTGGATCACAAGAATCGCTTTGCTGTAGGCATAATATGTGCCTACAATAATCAAATTAATTCAATCCGTAGGAAATCCACTCATTGACTTGTTTGTGTAACCATAACAAAATGTTGTTTTTTTGCAAAGGTCGCAGAGAACACGATTGTCTGTACAACAAACAAGTATTCATTGATGCTGTTGATGTCAAATAGGGAAGAAAAAAGAAAATCAAATAGTGAAGGTTTTAGCAGATGGGGAAGTCCTTGGGAATGAAACTGCCTTGTGACTACATTTGTTTTCCTGCCCATCTTGAAATCAACCAAACAAAGATGTTGTCGTACAGCTCTTTAAAGTCAATCAATCAATTAAAGTAAGATAACGTGAATAAAAACATTCCTGATACAAGCAAACGTCGGGATAAAAGCCGTTTATACTCCTCATTACTTCCACTATGACGCTCCCAAACTTTTGAACCTTGCAAGTTGTCCAGGAGTTAAAAAATAATTTGACATTTACAGATAAGTGTATAAATTTGGAATCAATTTGACCAAACACGTGTGTCAGCGTTATTTTTCAGTCACTCTTGTGATATTGATCAACTCTCCGCTCTGCTTAGCACGGGGCCGTTGAACAGTGAGGTAATGTGAAGTGGGCGCGGGTACCTCTATGATGTAGAAACCTAATAGCATATCAATATTAAACAATAAAAGATTGTTTACTCTAACACTGTGTTGGGTTTATTACCAGATACATGACCTTGACTGCGATGCTTAATCCTCCTTCAAAGATCTGGGTGCTGAAAACACACAAACGCCGACAGTATTTTAAAAGTCGGAACAAATAGAGAGCCTAGTGCACAATTTGGTCTTAAATGAATGCCAACAGAACAAAATTCACAATTAGTTGTTATGTATCTCTACATCCAGTTGAGTAAGGGACAAATGCAGCTCATTCTGGATCCGTTTTTCTGTCATACTCCACATAATCTCTATTTCTCTTTAGCTCAGCAGACGTCCAGTGAGGAAACGTCCTTGTTCACTGCTGCCATCTGCTGACTAATTAAACATACAGGAGCAATCAAATGGAAGGAAAACCACACAACCCCTCAAACAGGGGTATTCAATTCCTATGCAACGAGGTCCAGTGTCCTCACGCAAAGGTCTCGATTAACCAATAATGATTTTGGAACATAAAAATTGAATTTGTATTAACATCTCTTTGAAGTCGACAACTGACTGTTGTATTTTAATTATAAATACATGTTGTTCTCTGATTTCATTTACAATGAGGACTGGAACAAAGAATTCAAAAAATGTTTATCTTAACATAAAGTACTTTATTTAAGAAACATGAATTTAACTGAACTCTCTTGCGACTTTAAATGGAATTAATTCAAGTGCAGTGATGTCACCCATATATTATTGTATATTACTCTCATCTTCTAATGATAATTAAAACCACTTTTTAGCTGATCCTCTCTAATAACACTATTTTCTGGGAGTGATTTCATGAGTTGGGATTATTTTCTGTGTCTCAGTTTCAGATTTGAGTGAGTTGGTACGTTTGCTCGAATTGTCTGTGCTTTGCGTCGTAGTGGTGGATCACATTTCAATGATATCCAACAAACGTATGAGACATCCTAGTTTTGATTCGGTATTTGATTTGCTGAGTAGCAGCACGTGATATGGTTTAAAGCGCATGTGATTGGTCGGTGTGTTTCCGAGTCCGCTGAACGAGTGCCGTCAAGGCTAAAAAAGCCTCTTAATGAAATAGAAGCACGTGGGCAAACTTGAAAAAGTCCCAATTATCTATCTGTTCTAAGTCCAGGGTCCGGATAAGGAAAGGGACAGCTGGAAATGGATGAACAGGAAAAAACCCACAGCTGTATTGAGAAAGGAAAAGTCATGTCAGACTTCAGTATGTGATAAAACACCACCATCTCTCAATCTGAAGATATGATGGAGACGGAGACATTTCCGCCTATTGCAAAGATTTAAGACCAAAGAAGAAGTCTTGCACTGAAATATTCCCAGCTCCTCACTGGCCTTGATGGATGCATCCACTGACTGCTCCAGTTTGGTTCTGAGGGAGTGCAGTCTGGTCAACGTGAAGGGAGTGTCGGCCCATTGGGACGATGACTGGGAATGGTTGGTATTGTAATTATGACAGTGGAATCTTTTAAATATATAATTGGCTGTATGATTGAAAATCTAAAATATACCTCTAGAAAGACTACACACAACCACCAACATTGGCGGGAGCCTGAATGAGTGTTAAAGGGGGTTTGAAAATCACAAGATGCAAATAAAACAATAAAAAAAACACATTCCGTCTATCCTGAAAAATTGTTTATGACTAAAGCATTGCTCATCTTAAGCAACTCAAAAAGGATCATTCTTAATAATGCATTTCATTATATATCTCTGTTTTATTTTATACTCGCATTCCATTGGTGTGCAGGTTCCACTATTCATTCCCAATACAAATACAACTTACTTAGCTAAATTAAAACACTGCTCGTCCCCAAATGACCCTAATTTGACATGACCAAGTGAGGATTATGAATGTACTGTCAATTGAGCTCATGTAACGTATTAGTGAAAGCACTATAACATTAAAAACTAATGCTGGACTTGATCAATGCGCCAGACACCAACTGTCTGCCTTGACTAAGGAAATGGTTCTTGTGTTAAGTGACTCTTATACAACTATTTTTAGTGCTGTGTGATCATTTTGCCAGTGATAGATCTCCTTCATTCGGTGTCTCCTGTCATTAAATTCTGATATGTCACCATGAGCATCAGGAAAGTGTGGCAATTGAAACATAGCATCTCGTCAAAAGGAGTTCTCTGTAACCCTTCAACTTGATGCTCGACTTATTATACTATCTATCTATCTAACTATCAGTAAATCGACAATTAGCAGTAAAAACAATTGTTTGCTGCCTACAATATAACTCATTGATATAATAATAATAATATAATAACACGATCTAAAGTATATTTGTATATTTACTTAAGTTTATTTAAGTTGCTATTGCTTGGTGGACTTTTATGGGGAAAGTAATTTCTCTATTTGTGGCTTAAATCAAAAGTCCTTGTACAAATTGCCCTAAAGAATGTCCCTTTCAGGATGAGCAACAACCCCAGTTCTGTAATCCACGGTGCAGTTGCAGAATATACAGGTTATGTCCAAATGCGGACAGAGAATGGAGCTTGTGGATTGAATACAATACAATAATTTTAACAGCAAAAGCGCTTGATGGGGAAAATACGGGACCATCAAATCTATTATGATAAGTTCATGTTTCTTCAAAATAATCATTGCATTGGAAAAAGATGATTGAGAACCAACACATTTTACAGTAACTCTCTGCCTCACAGCTACATATCATTATTTTAGCTGTTAAATTCGGTGTATAGTCAGTAAAGACGTTAAGTTAAGTCATTGTGTCTATAAGTCTCATTCTTTTAAAAAATTGTGTGGGGTGTCAAGTAATTGCAGTATTTCAGTCCAACCTAATTTCTTGGTTTTTGAAATCGAAACTGGACTTGAGCAGTGTTACGGCAACATTAACATGAGCTCATAAAAGCCTAATGTATCAAACAATTGCAATACGTAAGTAAAGGAATATTGTGTTTGAACGTACAGAAGCAGGAATCAACATTATGCAACAAAATATAATTTGGGGGTATTTTTCTCTGTCTCATATTATAATTATAATACATGACGGTCACTGCATTTTCCAATTCAATGACACAAAAATAAAGTAATTGTTTATTTAATTTTTATTTATATAATTGTTTTATGGGACCATTGCAGGCCAAGACATTAAAAAAAGGTATGAGGCCACAACAAACAATAATTTGCAACAAAACTCTGTTTTCCATATCGGTTAATATAAGAGCCACATTGATGGTTAGACCAACTCAGACCAAAGTCAAAGCGAATACTCCGTGTTAATTATTACATACTGTGATGTAAATCTGTGACAGGGAAGACTCTATTGACGATACGCAGAAAGTTATCATTTACCTGGTGATAGATGTGACCACATAATAGATGATAAAACAAATTTAAGATGGTTTTAGCGAAGATTGATCGTCACAAATGTATAAATCTGTCGCCTTTGCTACATCCAAACCGTAGGAGTAAAACATAAATGCTCCTGTTTATAGTTCCGCATGTCGCAGTGATGGAAAGACAACTGGAACACGAAACAAACTGTTTGACTAAAGAATAAACCCGTGAATATAATTTAAAGACGGTTTATTTATGTTAAGACTTCAAATTACTTAATTTGGCATTTACTTTTCTTTTTTGCAGGAACGGAAAGAATTGACGTTGTTTCTTCCGTGGGGTTTTTGGTGAACACTAGTGAGTTTTTGTTTACCTAGCAACAGAAGGCAAGGTAGCAACGGTGTTTGGAGAGTGTCCATGCTAACGCGAAGCTGGTTCAATATGATGCATCTTGAATGCTATTTGGCGATTGCTACCGTGTAATTAAAAAGTGAAGATAATAGCAGTTAGCTGCCATATTTGCCTGTCGTCCGCGTTTATAAACTGAACAGTGCTAAATTAGCTAACGTTAGCTATTAGGATCATTAACGGTTAGCTATAACCACGTCCATCGCTCACTCCTAAAATGTCTTTTCAAGAGTCACCTCGTCCTTCTGATGAAGAGGAGGCGTTCTATGTGCACTGTAGAGCCGCATACCTGTCTCTGTTCAAATCTAGTTTGGCAAATATTACTTCGAAACAGCAGCTATGTCGTGGTAAGCTCATTTTATCTGATTAATAAAAACCGCTTGCTTGTTATAGAACTGTTAACCCAGTAAAACGCATGTATGTGCCAATTCATTTTAATGCTATAACTACAACCTAACGTTAGTTACATGATTGGCATGTTAATATGACAGTGACATAATTATATCATCTGGAAACAGATTTACACACTCTAGGAGTTATGAGGATGTTACATGGAGATGGCCATTTTTAAAGATTGAAGGTTTTGCCGTTTTACAGTATTTAAAAATAATTGATGTGATTTCCAGAAACTGTAATGAATCCACAGCTGAGCACTAATTAGGGACCCCTCTACAAAAGGTATTAGCTGATGACGCCTCATATTGATCTAATTTCAAGCTCCGAGAGACAGACATCGACCTACATGTTCAAAATGTTTTAGGAAGAGGGACATTTTCTAAACTCTTTAGTTGAGATGAGATAAGAAAAGTAGCTCACTGTGGGACAGTTTAAATAATGTAAATGTAATTTAAAAAGCACAGCAAAAAGATGTCCTTATGCTAATATCATTGGTTGTCATCAGCTGTTGCTGATGGTGGTTTCAATGTTCTTTCCCATTTATCCTTTTAAGCTCTACAGCAGGCTGGTAGAAATCCAGCCCACGCAACTCTAAATAAATACTGGACCCCAAGAACATCCAAGCTGAACTTCGATGACTTCTGTGAGATTCTCAAAAATGAGAAGAAAACTGATGAAACTGAGCTAATGAGAGCCTTCAAAAAGATGGATTTGAACAGTGACGGCTACATCTCACACAGTGAACTGCAGAAGGCCCTTACCACGGTGAGTAACCCTTAAACAGTTTTTTTATAGGATATCTATAACAAATCGACTGCTTATTTTTAAGATTCATGCTAAGGTTTTCAATACATGTGAGTAAGTGAATAAGCTATACATTCTGATGTTGTATACAGATAAACATGAACTGATTTTCTTTACTACTAAAGAACATCTGTCTTTTACATCTATCTTATAGAGAGGGGAGAAGATGACTATTGAAGAGGTGAACTCCATTTTTTCTTTGGCTGACATCAACAAAGACGGAAAACTGGACTATGCAGAAGTAAGTTAAGATAAGTAAGGAGGGACAGGGGGACTGATGTGGTGATTAGACTTGTGGTGATAAATCTTATACACCTAACCTACTGTATGTGTCTAGGCTTATGAAAATGTGTATTTTAAATGCATTTATTCAATCTTTGCTTATAGGTTATTTAAATGTTATATTTAATAGCGTTCACTCTTAACTACTTAACTTTTGCTCAACATGTTTCTTTTGTTGTAAATTGACATAACATACAGAAGACTCAGCAATGCTAAGCAGCACAGAAAATTCAATAGTGCAAAACAAAACAATTCCATCACCTCCTAAAATTCGCTCCAATATCGTCTAATTAATTGTCATATGTTTACCTCCATCCAATGAAAACATCTTTATCTCTTAAAACTTCCTCATGTATCATGCTCTCACCGCTGGTTTCCTCTTGCTGTCAGTTCTGCAGATTGCTGCTGTCTACAGTAGAGCAGTGTGAGACGGCTGCTTTGGAGAGACTCGAGGCAAATGCCAAGCTGAAGCGACAGAACTTTGGCAGTCGGTCATACAGCCCTCCAAAGAGCTCAGTATCATCGGCATCATCGGCAGCATCAGCAGCATCAGCACAAGCGGCAGCGACTGTGCCTCAAACTCCAGAAACACTCCAAGCAGAATCAGACACCACACTCAAGAAAGGTACAACACGCAGGGATATGATACTGTAACCTGAAATTGACTGTCTGAATTTGATCAGTCTGGGTATGCGTATGCGTGGGATTTCTTTTTGCAACAGATTTGTATTAAAGACCCAAAGAGTGATTCCACATGGATAACTTTTTCTCTGTCATTTTGTCCGCTCAAAAGCATTCTTCTTATCACACAAAACATAGTCCAACCTCTTTAAAAAGGAATTTAGAAACATTACACCACCACAGAAAGGAAGCAAAATGCAAAGATTATAACCTCTCAAAGTTACTTTGTTCCAGAATGCTCTACTATACTGTTTGCATTAGCCAGCCAATATATTCAGCAGTTCTGTTTTTTGCATGGAAATGCTAAACTCTTATAAGTGTATAACTCCATAACGTAATAGCAATTTGCACGGCACAATTTACAATCTACAGGTACAAAGTAGCAGCCATTGGCGACTGCACATTATGTATACTTCACATTCCAATTTATAGTTGCGCACCGATAGACATGTCTTGCCTCAATACGCCTCGCCGATTAGTTTTGATGAATAAATAATAGCTCTGTTATTGATCAATTTTTCACTCCCCCCGTGACAAATCACCTCATTAAGACGGTCTATTCCTCATAATAGCCACACAATTAGGGCTGCTTGTTTGCAGGGAGGAGACTGTAAAGCGTTGTGATTTGGGTAATCACTTCTGCCATTAAGAGATTGACAAAAGCTCCATCTCTGCTGCCGTTCAACTGTGCCTGTGGAGTTGGCCGTCTCTTGCTAAAGAAACAGGTTTTCATTGCTTAAACAAACAAGGACTGGCATTACGTCCAGTTTCATCCCTCTGCAACTGTAAATGATGAAGTGTATGTGTGCAAAAAAAGACCCCCCCTTTACCCGGTTGTAGGTGGATGTAAAAGTCCTCTTTTTGCACCTTAAAAGCTGCATTCCGAGGAATAAGAAGAACAGAGACCCTGGATGAGCGAGCTGGGGACAGGACCACGGTGGGAAGATAGATGGGGTTGATTTAGGTGGTCAGTCCATGTTCATGTTATTGATTTGGAGGATTCCACCACTTCTCACAAGGGAGATGATGAGGGATTAGACGGTGGTCGAGAGGAGGGCCCAGTCGACCACCACTGCAAAAACAAATGAGCTCGCACATAGTTGTCGGGATTATCACATTATCGTGCCTCTCCCTGCTATTGATTTATACCCGCTACGTTTGAACAAGGCTCTAACACAAGACACGATGAGATTGCACATGTTGAATGGGTTATTCTTTGAGCTCAAAAACAGTTTTGACTGCTCATTTGCTCCTGAATTTGTCAGTGTGTACCAGTGCTACACTGAGAAATATGTGTTAACTGTATGGAAGATGCAGTGTTTTTTTCCCTACCGTTATATCAGGGGTGCATATGTCCGTGTATGGCTCTTGCACCAGCGGACAGACTACCCCCCCCCCCTACTCCCTCCTGCTTAAGTTGGAACCCTCGGGGGAACACGGAGACGGGTCACTTTGGCTAACTGTTTTACATCTAATTGATGCGACACAGACCAATCACACATCAGCATTGTGCGTCGAACATATTTTGGCAAACAGTCAAAAAGATTGATGAATTGTCCCCGTGCTTTTCTGATAATTGGTCTGTTTAGTTCAGTTTGTGCGGTTATCCACTACTAGTTCAGAAACAATACCGGCTATAAACTCACACTGAAGCTTTTGTTTCGCCATGTTTCAGTGCTTCTTTGTCCACCTCCACACAACAGCTGCAATTTGAGCCTCTAGATTAAAATACTGCCATCGATAAAAAATAGATCCATCACAAATACCATGACAGTCGGTCTATTTATTTCTCCGCTACGGTAATTTGCTTGTAAGCCCTTCACATTACTTCTCATCTGGATAGTTATAGATCCTCATTAGTGAATTGATATTTTCAGGCTTCAATTAGAGTTCAAGGGGAGAAGTTGTGCGAGATAATGGATTTGAGGGGGTGCTGTTATGCCATTTGTGATTTAAAATGCCTCCATAATTAATTAAAAGGTAGTCGAGCTCGAGAACACACATTCGCAGAACCCAAATGCAAAGTAGCCATCTTCGCTTGAACTTGCACGAACTTCTGTGAAGACTGATTACTTTGTCAATTGTGTTGTTTGCCTCATCTCTCTCTCAAAAGTGTGTTTACTGTTCGGCGGGAGGAGGGCTGTACTTCATCTGTCACTCGGTCAAGTGAGCGTTCTGTTCGTGCTGCAGCAACGTGATTGATCTATAATAACTTTGGATGGATGTTTGGTGATAGTGTTTAGCGATGTAACTTTTTATCTGTGTGTGTGTGTGTATGTGTGAAATATGTGTGTGTGTGTGTGTGTGTGTGTGTGTGTGTGTGTGTGTGTGTGCCTCAGACAGCAGATCATCCTCCCGTCCTTCTTCTGCGCGCAGCAGACGGTCATCCCTGTCCAACTCCATCACTATGGCTTCCAGCAGCACTAGGGCCAGCAAAATAACAGAGCCTTCAGGCCTACAGGGAACCCCCCCCCCCCACCTACACACACACACACACACACACACAGTCACTACGACCCTACAGCGGCGATTCATCTCATCACCATTGTGATTAATCCTTCATCTATGGAATGAAATGTCCGAGATATGACAAAGTATGTTCAGAGAGCCCATGGATATTTCTGAAATCATGGGTGTCAGTCACCCATGAAGGTCCGTGTTTGAAGACTTTGTTGTAACAAACAAAGTAATAACTTAACCAGAGATGTAAAGCCGTAACTCTCTCTTTTAGTCCCAGTTAACGGCAGTGGATTTAATTTAATACAGTACTGTATAGTATTAACTCATCCATTTCATGATTTTTTCTATGTATTCTTATTATATTCTATACGCAACATGCTAGCTATGTTATGAATCTGAAAGATTCATCGTTTGTCACTCCACTGACAAAACCTGTAAATCTCTGTATGTGGGCTCCAGCGAGCGACTCGATACGATAGCAAAGGACTCTGCAGGCGCGCTGCTCTGCCACAGTCAGTGTTACCAATGTTTCTTTTGATGGGAGAATTTAGCCCAGGGTGGAAAATATACACTGTATTGATCCCACACTCTTTATTTTCACACTTTTTGGCTTAACCTCGGCTGGTTTGCTTTGCAGCATGAAAAATAAATAAATAAATAGAAATAACAGCCCGGCGCTCCGTCTCTCAGGCCCAGGCACTGTGCTGAGATTGGAAAGGGCCAAACATCATCGTGGTAAAAGAATGTGTGTCCAGAGATTCCCTCTGAGGGAAGTTCTGCTTGCTATATTGGCTGCTGTACTGCCATAGGCAGATAATTGGGAGTTGGCGGATGGAGGGTAGGCTGTGTGTGTGTGTGTGTGTGTGTGTGTGTGTGTGTGTGCACCTTTTGGGTGAAATCTGTTGTCATGACTACACACATCACAAGTAAACAATATTTCATCTCAGGATTTGTTTTTTAGGAATAGATTAGTTAAAATGTAAAGGTTGTGCTTTAAAAGGATGTTTGCGTGTGTGTGTGTGTGTGTGTGTGTGTGTGTGTGTGTGTGTGTGACTGGTTCGGTATCATTCGCCCCTTCTGTGTCGCAGTCAATCAAACCTGTGGCCGAAGCCGGTGACAGCGCCTTTATTAGTCTGCAGGCTGACCCTCTCTCTATGGGGGCATTCGTTCTGATGTCTTTAGGCAGTTGATGGGGGCCCGTGGCAGTTTACCTCATTTAATATTGTCCGGACAAGCCACCGAAATGTTATGGTTTGATCTTTTATGCCTCGCACAGCCCAAGATAAATACTTTGAGGAAATGGCTTTTCTCTAAATGAGTTAGACGTGCTCTGTCTTTATGGTTCTTTCTTTGTTTAACTTGATGATTTATTTGTCCACTAAAAGGATACATGGCCTATTGTAGACTTGCACGGTCCTCAGTGTCCTCTTACTGTGTACCCACACCAACTGTGTTTTCATTTTATGTGTCTCCAATGCCGCTGTGAAGAAAAACTTCCTTTTTTTTTAACGTGGCTGTTCAATTTCAAATTATGACCTAATTTCAGTTGTGCTGTCAGACAAAGGAACAACAGTATTGCAAAAAGAGAGAAATATAAGCATCCATAAATATTGCCAGAGTTGCCTCTTGATAGTTGTGAATGGCCGCTGGCCCGAAAATGAAAAGGTTGTATTTATCAAAGTTAAATGGACTCCAATTTGCCGTATCAGGTCTGAGACGGAGATTGACTTCAGCCTTTACTAGAAAACCCAGTGTGGCACTTCTGCCCTCCTCTGGAGCAGCAGGAGCATAACAAGTGTTTACACGCGGCAAACTGTGTATTAATGAAAATGCCCCGTAATTGTTGGAGCGGTGATAATCACAGAGGCAGTGTCTGTTAATCAAGTGAGCATCCCCACTGTTGTGATTGACTGTGATTTCATTTATCTTTTTCATTCCAAAATACACTTCCCCCGTCACAAGATCAATCCCCCTTTCTAATAAACTGCAAATTAGCTTTGTTTTCTATTGAATGAATAAATGCATTCCGTTGTCAGGCAGTAAAACATTTGTTGGGATTGTGTCAGGATCTAAAGAGAGACCACACATAACAAAATATGTTCGGCTACGAGTATCATTATACACCGTTTGAATGATGCAAAGAGCTTGAAATAAGAAACAGCTGGATCTAAATCTGATAAAGCTGAGGACATATTATTTTTTTGCTTTATTGGCCAAACTAAATCCGTTTAATGGATGTGGTGGCGCTGTTGTTGAGCAGAATTGTTATCCATTTTTCCCAGGAGTGGCATCACGGTTCTATGAAGGGCTGTTTCTTCTTGGAGGAAGACGGCAGTATCAGCTCTCTGCAGTACGAGCTCCACGTTCCCCAGACAACCAACGTCTACCTAACCATCCAACCACTCAGCCTCAGCCACGGAGCCGGTACTGGCCCTGTTTTATGCTACGCACCACATCTTTCAAATGAGATTACCCCATAATAAGGTTACATGTTTGCTTGCCACCCTGATTAGGCAGGTCCAAATGTTCCTACATGGTAGTTTTTGTTTATTTTGTCCACAAAATGAACAACCTTTGACTTAATAACCTATACAGCAGCTTGGCATATTGTGTTCTTTCAGACAAGCCTTCTTCATGGATGACGGTGGACACGGCTCTCTTTGTGATGGCAGCTGGTGAAACCAAGGAGGAGTCCACGTTAGTGGGGTTCACCGAGTCAAAGGACAAAGACGTATGTGTTGAGATCTGCGTGCACTTGAGAATTTGCTCATGTTCAATATTCCCATTGATGCTCACGTTAGGAGTTTGTGTGTTGGTAGAAACACATCTTTATCAAACTGTAACCCCTGATGAAAGTGTTCTCTGTCCACTGACATCCCGGCCTAAAGGTCGCAGCATAGCTGGAACTATGAAGCTGAAGCTTGATTGTGCTACATGCCAGGAGGCACTCGTGGTTTTTAACGTAGTAGGATGTTACTCCATCTCTGTTCCCGCAGAAATATGTTTGGAAAGGAGAATTGCATGCTGGGACTTATTACCTGCTGCCCTTCACGAGTGGATGCAAACTAAAGAAGAAGAGCAAAAAGAGCCCGTCAAATAAACCCGTAGAGCTCATCTACAGGACTGACTGTGGAGAACTAGACCTCACCAGGGAGCTGAGGTCTGTCTGTGTTTGTGTGTCTGTGCGTGTGTGTGTGTGTGTGTCCGGGTCTGCGTCCTTGCACATACATGTATGTGCGCTATCAGTTGAAAACAAAAACCCACAACACTTAGTGAAGTATTGTCAAATGTTACCAGCAATAAGCTGGTGTTTCTGAATGTGTAAAGTATTCATGTCAGCGTAGAAAAAAGAAAAAGGAGGACGCCTGGACGGCTTCGCTACCACAGCAGTGAGACGCAGGGGTACGAGGGAGGAAAGATGGACGGGTGCTGCCTGTATCTCATGTCTGTGTGTTGCTCCCTCTGTGCCACAGGGAGGCGCTGTCCGACGTCTTTGAGGTGATCGACCTGGATGGAAATGGTTTGCTCAGTCTGGAGGAGTACAACTTCTTTGAGCTGAGGACCAGTGGAGAGAAATGTGACAAAGACGCCTGGGCTGTCTGCAAAGGTAATCATTGTCATTATGGCAGTGATAAATGTCCAAAAATCTAAAAAAACGAAGAATGTATTTTGTTGCAGAGAACTTTGATATGAGGAAGAACCAGTTGACGCGGCAGGGCTTCGTGGAGCTCAACCTGATGGAGGCCACAGAGAAGGATGGAGACCCCGCAGACTTGTGGGTCATCCTGGAAGCTATGGGCTTCAACCGAATGCTGGAGCTAGTCGACGTCAGTTTACACTTCTGCGCTCACTTAAAACAACCACATGCAATTGCAAATATTTCAATCTGTTTTAAGATGCCATGACATCAAGTCACTTGAAAAAAGATTGGCTACTCTGCACAACTAGCTAGTGAATTGAGTTTAAATTCTATGTTTCTTTCACGTGACTTTCATAACCAAAGCCTCTCAGGGCAAAAGCACTGGTTCTAATACACAGAGAAACACACCCAAGCTTTCTAAACCGCACACAAAGTCCACTAACTTCATTAACATGAACTCCTCGGCCCAGGCCTGTCCATTCCAGATAGAAGTGCACTGTGAAGGCACTCAGCCATCCATCCAGCCACTCACTATGGACTCAGGGCCCAAGCTTCAGAACCAGGCCCTCCAGAAGTCCATCACCGCCAGGACGGGGGCCAAAGCACTGAGAGGACAAGACAACGTCTTTATCTACACCTACCGAGGAGAACACAGGATCTCCTCCCTCATAGCTAACAAGGTAGACAACTAATGGAAATCAGTATTACACAAAGCACAGAGAATCGGAGTGTTTGTGTGTTGTCAAACGGTAAGCTTTCTGTATTTAACAACCCTGTCCTGTTTAAGACACCGTCTGATGTCAGTGCATTGTTGCAAAGGCCCTTGACACTGTGTGTTGGTAATTGATATGCAGCCATCGTTTAGATTCTCATAGCAACAGGAGCTACTCAGCAGGAATGACCCAGTGATACAAAGGAACCACTGAACACGGGAAGTGTTTACATTTCCACTGGTTTTCACCAGAGTGTTGATTCTTCCTCTGTTTCATAGTTTTCATAGTTATTTTTTTTTCTCACATTAACATAAGGCTGTTTGTTCATTTATAGTTTTACAAAACACATTCCTTTTTTTTTTGTAAAAATGAAGTAGGCTTTTTTTACTTCAGGGTCATACATGAATTATTATGCACAATTAAAAACATAATTATAAAATGAAATATATACAGTATATATGTTTGTTTATCTGCATGTTGATTTTGTGTATTTTCCTCAGTAGGTTTTGCAATCTGTTCTGGATTTTGTACCCTGACTCGCCTCCGATAAGCCAATACCCTTTGTGTTGCAGACCAACCAGAAAGTGACTGTCCATGTAAACAATGAGCAGAGCAGGAACTGCTGCAGCAGCAGAGGCATGAGTGTGTTCGCAGTCGAGGTTCCAGCCAGGACCAAGATGGTACGGAGAGAAACAAAAACCTTTTTTATGATTTCAATCAATAAATAAAACCTTGTGATCTTGTACGGTGAAAGTGTTCGTTCTGAATAAGAAAATACTTTATTGTAAGTGATATTGTAATAGCATGGAATGAAATTAGCGTTGTTGTTTTTTTGGGGACACTAACAAAGATCTCTGTCTCCTAGGTGTGCCAACACATTCTGCCCATCAACGAGAGACACGATTGGACCTACAACTGTGTAGAGACCATACTACCCAGCACGTAAAGCTGTACTGCATTTACTCAAGATAGACTACTCATAAACCTGTGCTTTCAGATGGGATACGTAATAAATGGAAAATGTTCTATACCCAGCGGCGGTAAAAAAACTGCAATCGGACCGCATGTGTATTTCAGGTCCAGAAGGAACACGGCTTTCAACTTTTTGAAGGCCTGCGTTCAAAGCTTACCTGAGTTCTGTAAAGCCTTAAATGTCAGACACCAGAGACCTTCTGGCGGCTCGTAGCCAGCAGCTTGATCTGACCCAGCTGCAAGAAGGTTGTTTGAGAAGCTCGGTGACTCCATGGATCTGAGGGGTTAACTATTGATGGCAGCTGAGGGCGGTCGCTTAAATTATTAAGTGCAGCCCATGATGGTCGTTAATGCTTACATTAATCAATTAATGTAGAGACTTTTCTAAATGTTAACACAGTTAAATGTATAGAGTGTATGGATCAAGGAAATATGAATTCATAATTCATCCTTTAAATGATGGCTCTTGTCAATTGTCAACTCTTGTCAAACAATATTTCCTCATTCATTGTATACAGTCATGTAATACAGGCCAAAACAAATATACAATATTTAATTTCCCTATGTGTCCATATATTTTAATTAACATTTCATCCTTTTTGTCATGTAGATGTTAGTAGAATTTTTTTAGTATATTATACCGACGTATATTTGGTAGGAACCCCTTGCCCAACATCTAAAAATCTATTCGGTTTTATTTTCTACAATGATGCCTGAGTATCAATGTTTCTTAGACATGTAGGTGCCATGTATGATAGATGTTCCAATGGTTTTAATGTGTGTGATTTTTGTGGTAGAGCCCAAAGCTGGTCCTAATACGACGCTACTGCACATTGAAATAGTATTGTCTAAATGCTCTTGAAACCATCTTACCATTCGACCAAAGGCAGCCAGGCTGTAACCACACATCTTTTGATGACCAATGCTTAGTGAATGCTGTCTGAATGATGTTTTTATGTTTAAAGGAAGGATTGGAGTCTGTTTCTCTCCATATTCTTAAAACAGTATGCGGCTGTGGGGATGTGGGTTGGCAGCGAAATGCATTCCTTTGCAATGCGCTCAGCTCTAAACTTTATTTGCCCTTGGCCTTTGCAGTTTAGAGCAGTGTTGACCTCCTATTTATAACTCTCTGGCCATTATTTGCCCTTTGACTTTCTCTGCTGAAACCATAGAGGCACCTACGCAAATGTCATATGGCATGTGAGATGTATCTAATGTCCTGAGCTCCTGTCTGCTCTTCCTTTCCCAATGCAGAGGTTTGACTTGACTGGTCAGGGCAGTCTAGGTTCAGGGGTCAGGAGTCAATTTGTCATTGTGCTATTCAAATCATTATGTAGCATGTGTGTTTTTTGTGTTGTTGAAGTATTTCAGTTTCTATGTAATTCTGTGAATTTGTTTTAGAACTTTTATCTTGAATTATTATTATAGTTATTATTGAAAAAAATAATGCCAGTAAATCAACAGTTGCAAGAAAACAGACGATCAGATCAGATCTAGATTTAATTAATACTATATATGATAGATAGATAGATAGAACTAGGGGCAAATTTACTCTTGCATTTGCTCTGCTCTAAAGGCTGAAGAATGCATAGCTATACGTGTACATGCATAGATATGTTGGTTCACAAATACAAACATACACCGCGCTTTCACGGCAGGTCTAAAGTTGATCTTTGTTCTGCTTATGGTAGTCAAACACCCTGATGCAACAAGACAAACAACAGGGGCTGAAGTTGACCATTTCACAATATTCCCCATGCAGAAGATACCATGGTATATATTATCTACGATACATAATATCTGTGTGTTCGTGTAAAGCGTGCATGATGCACTTCCCAAGTATTTATGTTTAAAAAAAACGACCAAAATCTATTATCTGTCAAAACATCCATGTTAGCATGTTGAGTGAAGAATCCTCCAGGGCCTCGACCTGCCCTTTAAAGCGAGGGGGCGTGTCTTCGAGGACGACAGTGGGCGTGCCTTTGAGGACGGGAGGCGTGACTAGCCCGGTGTGTACGTGTGGCCGCTCTGCCGCTGCAGTCGCCTCTTTCTTTCGGGCCAGATAGCGGATCCCACGGGGGGCTCAGAAAAAAAAAAAAAACAATGGTGAAAATAACACGAGTGAAGACCAAGCCGTACTCGGACCAGAAGCCGGGGACGAGCGGCCTGAGGAAGAGGGTGACGGTGTTCCAGCAGAACCAGCACTACGCGGAGAACTTCATCCAGAGCATCATCTCCGTCATCGAGCCCGCCGAGCGGCAGGCTGCCACCGTGGTGGTGGGAGGAGACGGGAGGTTTTTCATGAAAGACGCCATCCAGCTGATCGTCCAGATCGCCGCAGCCAACGGGGTCGGTAGGAGAAGAGGACGCGTTGGTCCCGCCCTTCCCCGCTGTGACACGTTAGCGAGCCGCGGCTAAGTTAGCCAAGGCAGCTAGCACGTTAGCATCGAGCCGCCGCTAACGCAGCGAAGCGGTGCTTTCTGCTGGAAGTGCAAACGTACGAGCCGCTGCGCTGTTAGAATAAACCACCTGCCGGTCTCCGGTTTAACCTGCCGGGTCTCTTGGCACGGCGAGGGGAACCAGAGGAGCCTCGGCCGTATGTTTGTTATTGACGTCGAGTTACTCGATAAATCCCATTAAATCAGCGCAGCCTTCACGTTAAACTACGTGTGCGCGCGCCAGTGACGAGGTTTTCCTGCGCCGGCTGTCAGTGGGCCAGATGACAGCTGCGCCCTCTTGGACGAAGTGCGCGGTGATGGAGGTCACTTGGGTTTCCCAAAGATAAACTCCACAACGTAACACCATCACACTGTGACGGTGCTGACGCGTAAAGTGCACGTTGCCCTGCAAGTGTCTGTAGCGTGCACGAGGGACGTGCGCCTTTTCTGTTTAACGTTTCAAGCATTTGTCCATCGTGTGCTTGTGCGCACGTATCGGCACTGGGGTGGTCGTACTTGCACAGCACATAACTGTTGTTGTCTAGACTGAACCTGAGACCTTCTCTCTCTCTCTCTCTCTCTCTCTCTCTCTCTCTAAAGAGATGTCCTTCTGCCTCTTGAGCAGCTGGTGCAAAGTGGAACAAAGTTTGATCTTTCTCCACAAGTTGTTGTCATAGGAAGTGAAGCTGTGGAGAAACGGGCATTGCCAAAGGTGCATAGTTCTGTTCATGTGTTCAACGGTTGCGCGGTTTAAAAGGGAAGTCCTGGACGCAGATGGTAACACCATTTTTAAAAAGTCCATCTACAAGTTTACTTAATCAACTGTTTATCCTCTTGACCTTTTAGTTTTGTTTGTCACGTGTAATCATTTCAAACACAATTCCAGTGAAATGTGATGCTGCTAGTCACTTGTTGTGCATCAAACAGAGTTCTAAATAGAAGAGTAGTATGTGTGTGTAGTTGTTAGGCACTGGGCTTGTTTAGGATCATAAAGGTCAGAGGGTAGAAGCCTGTGTGACCTTCTCAACCTCAACGCGCAGAAAAGGCTCCGACCCAGGGAACGGTCCTAGCCTCCTTTTTGCAAATATCCTTTAGTCCGAGCAAAGTATTACGTACTTATTTGCGAGTACATAAGACTACCGTTTGTCACTGTGTGATCTTCGGGTTGCACCTATGAAGCATTTGCAGGGTTGCAAAGGAGCGGAAAGTTTCCGGTACATTTCCTGAAATTTTCCATGTCCCCACACACACACACACACACACACACACACTGACCTGTGCACACGGGGAGTTGCGTCCCAATGGGCACAAACAGACATGTGCAAACACATGTGATTAATTCCTTTTAAGCTTAGAAGTGGACTTATTTTTGGGGGGAGGGGGAGCATAGGGAATGCACTATTCTCTTCAACCTTCATGCTTTTGTTGTTCAATGAAAGAATAACGTTCTACTCACAGTTGGATTAAGTCAAAAATGTAATTTTTTCCAATTTTTTTTTAGAAATGTTTGCATACATGTCTGATCATTGTGTTTTGTCATGTATGACATGGTAACTACAGTTAAATTAACCCCAAAACTTCCCATTTATTCCCGTTAATTCCCATAGAAAGTTGCATATTCCTGGAATTATGCAATCCCACTCATGTGTCCCTGCGCATTATGTTCCCGCCTGCAGATTGGTCATCTTGTGATTGGCCAGGATGGCATCATGTCCACCCCAGCGGTCTCCTGTGTGATCCGCAAGATAAAGGCAGTGGGCGGCATTATCCTCACAGCCAGCCACAACCCCGGAGGCCCCAATGGAGACTTCGGCATTAAGTACAACATCTCCAGTGGAGGTGAGTGGAGGCCGAGTTGTCACCATTCAAGGACATTTCAGTTGTCATACAAGAGCCACAGACCCATTTCCTAAACAGAGGCGAAATATTCATTTATTTATTTAGTGTTTTTCCACATTAGTGTATCTTTCAGCTCATCAGTTCCAACAGCCTTTGACTTTTTCCCTAGGACCTGCTCCAGAGGGCATCACAAACAAAATATTTGAGATCAGCAAAACCCTGCAGGAGTATCAGATCTGCCCAGAGCTGAAAATTGATCTGTCCAAGATCGGCAAGCAGACCTTTGAGGTGGACACCTTCAAGCCTTTCACAGGTATAGTGTATAAGAGAATTAATGTTCAGGCAAACGCTTGTGTGACTTGTTAACAGACAGCTTCTTCTCTGCTCTTCTAAAATAATGAATACAGTTGGGGACTTGTGAAATCCAGCAAAAGTCAATAAAACTGGTTTGACCCGTTTGTGAAGAGGAGTCAGGTATCCAACCCGACGTCTTTATCCTAACATCTGTGTTCTTTTCTTATGCCCTTCTTTCCTCTTTGTTTCTCTCAGTGGAGATTGTGGACTCTGTGGAGGCCTACGCTGAGATGCTCAGGAGCATCTTTAACTTTGCTGAGCTGAAGGAGCTCCTCTCTGGAGCCAATCACATCAACGTCCGCCTGGATGCTATGCACGGAGGTGGGAAACGGCAATACTTCAGACAAAATAAATCTGCAAAGGCTAGTGTTAGTCCTGATTATCTAACAGCTGAACCTAAGGAGTTACTTGGCATGTGTAGGAGCAACGTGTTATCGCAGATTAGCAAAGTAGAAGGTTATTCTTTTCTACTAGTCCCCATACACCTCAAGCACGGGGTGTTGTTCCCGTTTTAAAGACTGTCCCTCTCCTTCCAGTTGTGGGTCCTTATGTGAGGAAGATAGTCTGTGAAGAGCTGGGCTCTCCTGCCCACTCAGCCGTCAACTGTGTCCCCAAGGAGGACTTTGGGGGCCACCACCCCGACCCCAACTTGACCTACGCTGCCGACCTGGTCAACACCATGAAAGGAGGAGAATATGATTTGGGTGCAGCCTTTGATGGGGATGGTGTAAGTCGAGGAAGATCATTTTGCTGCAGTAAAATAAGAGTTTATTGCGGAGAAGTGAGAGCAGAGTTGAGAAATTGTTTGATTGTTCTCTCTTTCTAGTGACCCCTGTTTGTCTCCTTATTTCAGGACCGAAACATGGTGCTGGGCAGAAACGGCTTTTTCGTGAACCCCTCCGACTCCGTGGCGGTCATTGCTGCCAACATTAACACCATCCCATACTTCCAAAAGACCGGGGTCAGAGGGCTGGCCCGCAGCATGCCCACCAGCGGAGCCCTGGACAAGTAATAAGCACGCGACGTAGCAGATAATCGGAAATTGTCTTTATTGGGTGAACTGAGTGCAGTTACGGACCAATGTTTTCTCATCCGCTTTATTGTGTGTGTGTGTGTGTGTGTGTGTGTGTGTGTGTGTGTGTGTGTGTGTGTGTGTGTGTGTGTGTGTGTGTGTGTGTGTGTGTGCCGCTCGCATGCAGTGTGGCTAAAGCTCTGCAGATGCCGCTGTACGAGACTCCAACTGGCTGGAAGTTCTTTGGCAACCTGATGGATGCTGGAAAGCTTTCACTGTGTGGAGAGGAGAGCTTCGGCACAGGTGATCGAATGTCGTCCTGCTTCTGGAGCCTGAATGGCAGTAAATGAAAGCAGCACCTCGTACTCACTCAATCTCTCATCCCCTCTTTTCTCCCTCTGCTAACCGACCAGGCTCGGATCACATCCGGGAGAAGGACGGCTTGTGGGCAGTGCTTGCATGGTTGTCAATTCTTGCGACCAGGAAACAGAGTGTGGAAGAGATCATGAAGGATCACTGGCAGAAATTTGGCAGGAACTTCTTCACCAGGTCAGGAATGATCCCTCTAGAGTGGTTTGAGAAACGCAAGCCTCATTTCCCAAAAGAGGAATATTTCAGGTTGCGTGTTGTGGTTTTAAAAATAAATAAATGTTTTTCCTAGGATCCTTAGTTACAGGACTTTGGTTACCAAACAGTTTGAAACAGTTGTAGCAACACATGCAGACATGCTGCAGGGAGATCGGTTGGTCAGATGGTACTCTGGCACCTTCTTGTGGTGAATGCTAGAACTGCAGCACGCAGCTGCCCAGAGAAAATCTATTTATACAGGTGTTTTAAGACATTTTTTGGTATAAACTATTTTGTTTATTATTAAAACCAAAAGTCCTTTTTCCATTTTTAAAAATTAAACTAAACTGACTTAAAAAAAAAGTCCAAGGAATGATCCAATTGTCTGATGCCAGTTAGACACCAGGGGATATTTTCATCCACTCCCAGGTACGACTATGAGGAGGTGGACTCGGACGCCGCCAACAAGATGATCACGGATCTGGAGACGGCAATGTTCGACCCGTCGTTCATAGGGAAGAAGTTCTCGTCGGGCGACAAGACGTACGAGGTGGCTGTCTCTGACAACTTTGCTTACACGGACCCTGTGGACGGGAGTGTGTCCAAAAACCAGGTGAGAGCCTGTGAATCGTGTCCAGCAGCGTGTTTGCGCCTCATAATTCTACCTCCATACGTGTTCCAGTTACTGTGCATGTTCGTTAGTCATATCTCCTTGTCTTTCTCTGCTCCTCTCTCAGGGCCTCAGGATGATCTTCTCTGATGGTTCTAGGGTCATTTTCCGTCTCAGCGGTACGGGCAGCGCTGGAGCGACCATCCGGCTCTACATAGACAGCTATGAGAAGGACCCCGAGAAGATTTACCAAGACCCGCAGGTCAGGACGATAAAGAATAATCCCACCCAGCAGGATCCAGTGAGAGAGACGCTAGGCAATTAAGTCATCAAATACGGAAGTAAACCTGCAACTTGCACCAGGTTTTCTTGAGAAAATGAGGATATTAATATAGTTGTGACGCTAGGTCACAGCAGTTCGTTCCCATTGGCCCCAGAACCCTTCGGGCTGGCTGTAATGATCTGTTACCAGCTGGACAGTCGCATTGGGTGGAGCTCCCCAAAACCGAGATCCAATCCTTGTATTCAGCATGATGGGGGATTCTTGGCCAAGTCTTGAGTCATGGATGCTTATCAAGGCCACAACCGAAGGGAATAATAAACTTCAGTTCAGACTAGACACCTCATTGGAGTCCTTCTGAGTGGTGAGGACAGGCGCTTGATGTACAACAAGAAAGCAAGACAAGACCCGCCAAAAAAAGTTGTTGAAGGTCCGAGCAGACATCCCCCCCCCTCTTCAGTGCTTCCACGCCACGAACAGAGAGATAAGCTGGAAACACACACTGCTGTAGAATGTTACCTTGACAGATGAATGTCCAGTGGGTTAATGGTTCAGTTGGCTGACTTTGGGGAGGTGTGATTTACCAGGAAGAAGACACGAGACAACCTTTCACGTTTCTTCCGACAGCGGTTGTTTTGTGGTTCCGCTCTCTCCTGGTTTGCTTTGGTGTGTGAATTGTGGTCATTATATTATGTAAGTTCATAAGTAGGCTTCATGTCCAGGCCTTTGTCCAAATTTGGGCTGGTATCAAGATAATAGAATCATCCATTGTGCCCTTAAATGCCTGTGTGATGAAAAGTAGCACTTGCTACTATGCTGTGTGTGTGTGTGTGTGTGTGTGTGTGTGTGTGTTTTTACCTTTCGGCCTCTTTGTGCAGGTGATGCTGGCTCCCCTGGTGGACATCGCCCTGAAGGTTTCTCAGCTCCAAGAGAAGACCGGACGCACCGGCCCCACTGTGATCACATGATTCCTCTGCCTCCACTCAGCAACAGGAACCCTCCCGTCTCTCTCCGGGGTGAAGCTGGCCATGAACCCGTGGTTTCAGTTCGTGGCCGTCTTACGAACCCAGCTGGATGAAAAAGAGGGAATGCAAGTTGAACGCGTGTAAAATACCCGACTAGCTGTTGATTTACCGTACAATGATACAAGTTATCCACTGCGTAGGACTACAGTCAGTGTTAATATGCTGTTTTATTAAAATGGGAAGGCAGTGAGACATTGTCACATGGTAATGTTAATTAAATGGGGTTTTAAAGAAAAAAACATTGAAAGATTCAAAGTGGGCGGAAGAACTGGATTTGAATGCCTCGTGTAATTTCTGCAATAATGTAATAGTGCATATCTGTTTGTTGAACCATGTCATTAAGGGGAGAAAGTCACCATGAATCAGCTATTTGGGGGAACCTCATCCCACATTTCCCTGACTGCCCATGAACCACAGCAAAGCCTTGAGAACTAACACATCCTCCAAATAAATAAATTATCTCACATAAAAGAAGTTCTGTGGTGGTTTTAAATTCATTTATGTTCCTCACTATTTTGATGCATTAGTTAGTATGTGGATGTCTGAAACAGGCACGCCAAGTTATTTTTATACACTAAATCTTTCCTTCCAAAAGCCAGCTGGTGCTCGACAAAGCGGTCGGGCCGGCTGTAATGGTCTTAGCAGACCTGGGCCTAGAAAAGTGAGCATTCACAAGGGGGACTGAAGCTGAAATGGGGACGGTGTGGGAGGATGTTAATGCTTTTCATCCAGGAAATTGTTTTAGATAAAAGCAAAGATCCTGTCCTGCAGAGCCAAAACGTAGGATCGGCCTCCGAGAGAATAAAGCGCTTGGAAAAAAAGTCAATGCCTCTCCAAAAAACATCAAGTGATGAATTCTTCTCCGTCCCCCTCGCCAGTCTTCTTGTAAATGAGATGGTCACTATTAGTTATCCGGGATGGGGAGGGGGTCCTGCCGGCTTTGTCCCAGGACTAACTGTCAAGGGTTGAAACATATTTTTATTTATTTCTTTTTCTGAGAGATTACAGAATGATGTTTGTGACTCTGGATTGGTGTTAACTTTTCCCTCATGTCACTCCCAATTGTGGATATAAATTGGCTGCAATTTAGTTAATGGGCTGGAAAATCAGGTGCACCCACGCACAGAAAAGGGAGCATTTAAACACGAAAGGCGAAATTGGCCTCAATCACAGATGGCACATTTTCCGCCAATTTCTGTCACGCGTGTCTGTCAATCATACCGACCAGCACAATCAGCTCTACCTGCTTGCACTTTGCCCCCCCCCCCAGACACATGGTGCGCAGTAAGGTTTCTGAGCTGGAACTAATTGAGCATTAAAGATGTGCTTTCTCATAGATATTTAAAGAGTTTGACGTATGACACTTATGTTACTGCCATTTAACTTATGATTCTACTGGCACAAGCTTTCAGACAGATTTAAAAAGTATAGTGGACCATGAAGAGCTAAATCCCAATCTTTTATCTGTGTTTACCTTAAGATGGAGGATCAAGGCTTTTAAAGCTTGTTTCCAGCCTTCGAAGGCTCAATCCGTGGCATTTTGGACGTAGAACTGCCCAAAAAAAAAGTTCCTCCTCTAGTCCCTTCAGAGTGAAAACTTTTTCATGCTGCATTGTTGAGACCCTGTCAGCCTGTAAATGCAATACATAATGTGTTCCTCTTGTCCGTCTCGTAATGGCTCACGGGCTGTATTTGGATTGGCTGTCACTACACCGGGTATTCACAATGAGGCTTACATTACACCGGCCTTGTCCGAGCTCCACATGGCTTCCTCTGCAGCTGGCATGGAGCCTTGTGCTTTTAGAGCAGTGGGTTTGTTGCTCTCTTAAGGGCGACGCTCCCAAACGCCATTCCTAATTAATTTCCTCGTGAGAGAATCAGGAGGCAGCCGAGGAGCATCGCACACTATGATAGGAGGATTTTAACATTGTTCTCCACGACTTTATGGTGTCTGTGCTGGTCAAGAAGGGACCTAAGAGAAGATGCGCTGGAGCGCCTGGTCGTCCTACCGTGTGGATTGTGTGTAGTACACAGAGTATACACATGTTAAATGGTGTTGTGGAGATCTGATGGAACGCAAATCGTGCAGTATGTAGCCTACTATGTGGGCACAGGAGGTTGACTTATTTAAACAAAAAAGAGAAGAACAAATCAGGCTCATATAAAGAATATTTTCATAATTGATTCATCACCATCGCAAAAGCGTTAAACCACAGTGTTGTAACAATAAAAACAATCCCTCAGTTAATTTTCTGTTGTATCACTTTTTTTGTAACCCTTTTGAGATTCAAACGTTTCGCCCTTCCTACAAAAAGATCATTTCTCCCATTATGTGGTTTCTCAGCTTCTCTAAGTGACAACAGATAGCAGAGATTATTTACTATGTCAGCACAACTCAACACTAAAACACGCCTCACTGTTTCTGTGTGCACTTTTGAAGAAGGTGTTATACTTCCTAGTGTGGGCATGAGAGGGAACTGAAAGAATGTGGTCATGACTTCGGTAGTGCGTCCTCAACTGGTAATCGTGTGTAATGAATGAGATACGTCGATGCTGTGTAGGGTAAACACACCGACCCCTCTTGAAACTGAAGGTGCACCTTTAGTGATTTCCTCCACAACGACCCTTTCCTACCGAGCATGTAACACAAACACATCATTTGGACATAATGGACCAGTATGCAGGGGACAGCCTGATGTGTTTTGTCCTCTTTTAACCTAATTTGATCTTAAATGTAAAACAGCTTTTCTTTTATTAACTTATCTGCATTTTTCACACCACAATGAAACAAAAGAGGGAAGATCAAACCAGTGAATTGTGTGATACACAAGTTCCCTGCAAGCAGTTATTATTGTGCTGCCTGAAACTTCACATATTTGGAGGCCTCCGTAATGAAGAAAGGGAGTTGCCTTGGCTTCAACATTGATCTAACTCTCTTGAAAGGTCTCTGAATAGTCTTTAAATTAAATACTAGGAAATTGGATGCTCTTGCAGTGTTCCAGGTTTACTCTGTAAAACCCACTCAGTGACATGTTGTCCGCTCATGGTTTCCCCTTCTTTTAATGCACGCAGGCTCGTGTGTCTATTTGGAAGCGTTCCGTTCCGTTATTGAATATTACCACTGGCTGTAATATGCGCAAAAATACATCCTGTGGGAGTAAAGTAACAGTCCACCAGGCCTTTGAAAGGTGAGACTGTAAATATGCAACATGTCGCACAGACTCTTTTTAAGAGTTTAAGTCGGAGATGGTGCTCGGACCGACGGATGCAGTTATCCAATGTTGTCTGTCGGCCATTTAATGACGTCCCAACAGGGACGGAAAATGTTTAAAGTAAAATGTGAGTTATCCGCTGAATGCCAGCACATTTTCACCCAGTCATTAAACTCATCTGAGGATGTGAAGGAAAACAGACAAAGAGAAAGTGTTTTAATACTGAGTAAATGTGGCAGAAAGGCCATCATCACCCTCATCCTATCGTTCTCTTTTATTGACTCAGACATTTTTGCCAACTTTGAAACAAAGGGCCCCCCTGTCCACGAGATGTGGCCACTGCAGAAAGCCTCGGGGATCTGCTCTTCAAAGAGACCTTCAGAGCCATAATCCACTCCGCCATGAAAGTTAGATGACTTTCACCATGCATGGTTGCAATTTTAATAATCATTAAAACAAAGTCGATAGGCATCAAGGGGGAAAAAAATAGGCCCAGTCAGAAATAATCTGGCTACTTGATCGGCACAGTGGTGAGGTCTTCCACCTCCGAAAAGCCCTTCCACTTCTCCGACGTTCTTTATTACAAAGAAAACCACCAAACAGAGCTTAGGTTTAATTCATTTGGGCGCTCAAACAGAAAATGTAAAAGGACGCCTTAGTAAAAGAAAATATGTGACGTGCCCCACATCACACGTTTCTCCAAACTGCAATCAGTCATGACCGATTTCACGTGGCTTCACAGTTATTTAAAGTTACTTACTTACTGTTTGAATTTACTCAACATGTGATATTGCCGGAGCACAAAAGCCCTTTATTGTGTTGATTGAAAAGCTGTGTGCGACCGTACACCTACCACATCTGCACATGCAATCGCACACACTTTTGGTGTGACTCAAGAAGCTCGCACACCCGGCAGCCGGCACGCAGACCACTCAAAGTGCTTGAAGTTGCGGACTGCAGTTCTGGGTCGTTGCACGTGAGAGTGCTCGTGTTTCACTCACAAATCAATTAAATCAGGAGGAAATGTATTTTTAAAAGTCTTCAAATTCATAAACTCGGGCATGGAGGAATTGGTTATGTCCAACTAATTCTAAGTGAGAGCGAAAGCTCAATCGTCATCAGCGAACAGACTGCACTCGCTGTTTGCACGTTGAAACGCTCGAATTGACCGCGGTGCTGGTTTCGATCGGACCTTTGGCAGCTGTCAAACAGCTGCTTTGCATCCCTCAACTCTCATAATCACCATTTTCCTCAACCGATCAAGCAACAGTGGGCCAGGGACGCTGCAGAGATTCATGTATAGTATAAAAAGTTGGACCGACGCACGCCGACATTTCTTTCCCCTGGAAGTTTAAGGTTTTTCTCCCCAAAACACGCACTGGGACCCTCCCCAGTCCCATCTAATGGTTTGCAGGAACCTCCTTCAGTGTTATCTCTCAGCTCCGGTTAGCAGCATCTCTCCAGGGACGCCTGAGTGGAAGGATGGTTTTGATTAGGAGTCCTGAGTGACCCCTGGGCCTGACAAGGAGCAGGGATAACGGAGGTGAAGTTGTGACACCCCGTGAGCAGCCCCCTGCACCCTTCCTCGGGTCTTTAATGGGAAATAACCCAGTCTAAAGCATTGTTCATTCATGCTATCCCTGCTCTCGATTAGTTCGATCAAAACACACTTCAAAGAGGATGATGTTTCCCTGTAATGAGCAGGAGTAGGTCGCAACATGGGAGGACCGGAGATGCTAAATTGCAACCATTCTTTTCCTGCCCGGTATTAGTCTGTCAAAGTGCTCTTTGTGTGCAGGCTCACATGCAGAGACAAAGTATGTGTCAAAATCCAGAAATGAGTGGAGTAAAGTGAAACAAGGTGTGGAGTTATCCAGGAGACGTTGAGGTGGGTTAAAAATACTGTACAGCTCTGGAATCAATAATTGTATAAAGGCGTGTGTGTGTGTGTGTCTGCAGACGCTATTGTTCACCTTATTCTCCTTTCTTTACATTCCCTCTTTCTAGTCTTTGTCTTTGTACGTGTCATTCAGGGAGTGCGTTAAACATTTGAATGTGGTTTTAATATAGTGGGCAGTAATAAAAAAGTTTGTCCATTTGCGTAAGTCAAGTTTAGTGATCATCCAATCCGGCCCAAATGGATCAAGTTCAGATATTTTAGGGCCAGAAATTACGCTCCGTTAAGAGTTGTTTATTGACTCACTTAACTTTGTTGTGTTTTTAAGTCAAATGAAAGTGACAACGTGTGTATAGTTGAAGACCGGCTTGTTTTTCATGCGCTTGTCACAGGTAGCGGTCCAGTAGCACGACCCATTGACATAACTCTGCTAAATAGATACTAAGTGCAAAATGTCCGGTGATCCTTATTTTGACATCCCTTTCAGAAGGAGTTCAGCTTCATGACAATAAATGATGCAGCAGATATAATTGCATGTATAATTGCAGAGAAGCAAAGCCTGCATTGGGATATTGTTGTAAATAGTGTAATGAAGTTCATGTATGAGTTCCCCATTCACGGTCTCAGATTTCTTTATTGGAGAATATTTGTGTTCTTGTAAATACCGGGCCTCATATATCACGCGTACCAGAGGCAGCCAAAGGAAAGTAGCTGCTTGGTGCCACTCAGCCTGCAGCCGACTGAGAAGCCTTCTTTGGGTCCCTCGATTCACTTTCGGTATTTAGAGACACAGTCTCTCCTTTTGTTATGGACTGAAGAGCATACTCAAATCCAGTCCTCGGCCAATAACAGCATCTAATATGAACATATCCCTCCATTGCCCTAAATCTGCAGTCCTTTCCTCACGTTTTACTACTTTTTATAGTATTTCCTTAATCTCAGAAGTCATTGGTCATGGTTTGCTCCTGCTGCGTTTAAATATGTGCCAGAAAGAAAAATATTAAAAATGAATTGCTTAGACACATTAGTTGAACGATCTCACCATAACATTGATTTAGTTGCCGCTCAGAGGCTTTCAATTGTATCGCATGAGATTCCTCCGCAGAGGGAGTTTCCCCAGTTGGAATTGTAGATTTCCACATTTCAATTAGTCGACTTCTCCTCTACGTCGTCTCTGAAGTCAACACTAAAAGCGCTTTCTTCACTTTGCAAACAATCTGTTCTGCAACTCATGACAAAAAAAAAAAAAACTTCTTGGTGCCCCAGAAAGGCTCCTGGGGTTCCGGGGCCCTGGACGCTTAGAACCCACTGGTCTCTGTTCCTGCAGCAAACACGAGGGGGCGACACGTGGCTAATCGGAGCCATGTGGCTCCTGCGGCCACAAGTCGCTCCGGTGAAGTTTGCAGGAAGGATCGCGCTCGCTCAGTCGAGGAGAGACACGGAGAAGGGGAAAGTGTTTGCTGGGCTCCAGCGAGGAGGACACGGACAGAAAGCAGGGCAGACGCAGACAGCTTTCACCCGCACTCACATCTGTCTGGGGATTTAGTTGCGCTTCAAAAGAGCGGCTGGAAAAAGAAAAAAAAAACCCACAGCGCAACCTAAAAAAAAGTCGTGCTTTTTGTTTTATGCTGTGTATATATCTTTTGGAAGGCGCTTGATACTGAAGTCTTTGAGTGTAGTGGATACGGAGGTTTTTTTTTTTTTTAACGCAGCCGGAGGAATGTATCCAACTCGGGCCGCGTCGGGCCAGCGCGTCTGGAGATGTCCGCAGTGCGCGCTGTGGATCGCGCTGCTCCTCCAAAGCGTGTTGGACCTGAGCGCGTCTGGTGAGTCTCAAGTCCCCTTTCTCCCCCCCCCCCCCCCCCCCCCTTCCCGGGTCCTTGCCTCCGTGTCCCCGCCACTGGATCGCGCGGTTTATCCACAACACGCGTGAATTGAAACGATGGAATATACACGCACATCAACATCGGCCAACTTTTTGTGTGGGGTCTGTTTGCGTGCGACTGTTTTCTTTACCACACTTGTAAATGCAGTTTAAGTCCCCCGGCATTGTGCTCACACACGGTCGTATTCATTAAGGTCAAACTATTTGTCTTTCGCTGCTGGAATAATCTGATAAATGTCCTCTTTAAGTGTTGTGTAAAGCGGAGCCGTTTTCCATCCCGCCGCGTCCCCTCTCATGGAAATGATGGTTGGTTTTTAGATTATCGTCCCATTGTCCCCGCGGAGGCTCTGCTCGGGGAAAGACTTGACTCCATTGGGGGACAATGGGAGGGGGTCTTAACTAGTCCGCTGGATAGCTATTGTGCCTGAATCCACCGCGTCAATGGCTCGGGTCAATTTAAGGATAAGAGATGCAGAACGTGTGAAAGGAAAACAATTATTAAGCATTTAGGCGTTTTGCAGAGAAGCTAGTGGCTGTTTCATGCATATATGAATATATATATATATATATATATATATACGCATTCATTATTCTGAAAACAATGTTCCCACTGCCTTTTCCCTCATGTGCTGAGTGTGTGTAAAGAGAAAGGATGTCTGGGTGGTTTGTGTAACTGGTTTTTCGTGGACTAATAGAAGTACGACTGAATTCAGTTTGTCTTGTTTATAAAGCAGCTCATGGGAAGTAATTTGAATATTTTCGGTTCTTTGGCTTTTGAGGGTATTGCAAGTTTAAAACAACACCCCCCCCCCCCTCCCCGCCCTAATGGGTAGTGAATTATCTTCGGATGGTTTTGGGGGGTTTTGTTTGGGTTATTTCTGTCCCCAAATGCTTTTGGCTTGTATTTACAACGGAGGTGTACATATATACACGATATGCTGCTTTCTGCCGTGGCCCTTCTCTTCCATCCCTTCCTTCTTCCTTACTCCGTGGCAGAGAGGAATGTTAATCCACATCACTGAACTGTTCGCTATAACCTCTTCGAAAGGAGTTTCATGGTTGAACACGGAGTAGTTCCGAGCCCCCCTTCTGTATGAGGAAAATGACTTCCACATTTTGACGGACAAATCAGCCCTGATGATTGCATCTCAAATGCTAACGCTGCTTTTCTCAGCGCTTGCCACCAACTTAAACCGCTGTCTGCCCGAGATCTTCTACAGCGTCTCTGTACAATTGTGATGCTGACTTTGTTTGAGTGTCCTTCATTGCATCCACAAATTTGATTTAACACCAGGAGACTTGTAAAGGGAATAGTCAGACACTATTTGACTCGATGCGGAGAGGAGAGTGCGGCACGAGTGCACATTCAATTGACTGTGTTGTCAAATGCAACTTTGCAGATGTTACAAGAATGAAACTGAAGGGCCCGGTTGTCATGTCTTTATTTGCTGCTGTCTGGTGTCCCGGTGAGTCGAGCAGCTTCCCTTCAGACGTCAAAGGTCACTGGTCTGTCTCCGTGGTTGAAAATGTGGTCAGCATTGTCAGGAACAAATGGGACCGCAGCATATTATGGCAATAAATGTTTCCTGATTCCTCATTCCTGATCCTCAACTCGCTCGCCAAATGCATCCCAATCACAAACCTGCACGCCACTTACTTATCTTTGAAAGTGATGAACTCTTTCTCAATTAACATGTTAACCAAAGTCTGATTAATATCAGAGATCAGGTCAAGGCAGGAAATTGGATAATGGCTTTGTGCTAAAAACAGAGTTTTTGTGACCTCTAATCGGCTTCTTCCCTGTTCTCACCAAAAACTGCGTAAGCATCGCGATCAGCCCTCCAGGTGCTTTTCTAAACCAGGCAAAATGTAGAACTGAGATTTCATACTTGTAGGCACAACTTTGCTTGTGAGTCACACCCGTCCTCCTCCGAAAGTCTTTTTCATACAACGGGAAAAAAACGTAAATCTTGACATTGACTACTATGTTTACATTTTATTTCTAACAAGAGTATATTTTTGCCAACTAGATTTATTCTTAAACGTGTAACCTGGTTTTGCAGCATGGAAATCCTTCTTTCTTCTGAGAGCCGTGAACCATCCGATTACCAAAAGATAAAAAGCACCTTTTGTTTAAGCGTAAATCTTTTTAGAGCAGTTACTGTCATTACGTCTTCCTGCCCTTTAGCGCCACACTAATAATCTTTGCCATGTCCATAAAAATAAATGGATGGCAATGTTTTCCAACTATGTAAACTGTGTGAATGTTCCTGAGCACGGGACACACCTCTAAACATAAAAGGTCCTGTGCAGGGCAGCAGCTGTACGTGAAATCTGTTTAGAGTTGCATTTATCCTTTTAATAACACTCGGGGAGGCTATAAATCATGTTGGCTTGAACTACCTCAGTGCCGTTTTCAACAGGACACACTGTTGACACTAAAGGCACTTCACCCCTGGAAAAAAAAAAAAAAAAAAAATCCTCGGCCCTGCAGACTTGAGTGTGTAGGAGCTTGTCCTACTCCCCCTGCTACTGGGTTTGTCCATCTGTACTGGAAGAGATCCCTTGTGGTATTTTCTGCTCACACTAATGCTTGTCCTCATGAAGTGAAGTGAATGGAAAGCAAGGCGCTCCCTGTTGTGATTCACAGTTCGCTCGTCGTTGTGATGCCGCTGTGATTTGCTTGTGTGACCGCATTGAGTTGGTCAGTATTTGATCCAGGTGCAGATGCGTGATGTCGGGCTGCGTCGAGGGTTTGAGTGTTGCGTCTCTTTCAGAAAGGTGATTACTCCGTGTCTAAAACTCAACTCCCACTCGGCACAGAGCACGCTGCATTAATGCAGGCATCGTGCATCCCTGAAAGCTTTTTGGCAGATGCAGAAGGATGTGGCAGGAACTGTACGTGTGAAACAGATGTACAGTCTTTTTCTGGGACGATTTATTTAAACATTTTTCTGCACAGTTCAACTCCTTGAGTGGTGGACATTATCTTACCTAATCTGGAAATAGCCATGAATCATACGCTCGGACTCTGGCTTGTGTCACTGTCTAATGCATCGGCGTGTAAACTTCGTTGTGCACTGGCAATTATCTACTTCCCACTCGTTATTAGGCCCGCGTGTTTGCCAAGGCTCAGTGTTACTGCAAACTGTGGGGAGGATACTGTGTGCTAATGGTTTAACTGCTGGACAACCGGCGGGCAATTTGCTTTAAGTCCAAAAAGGATCAGTAAATCCAATAACTTGTTCAGTACTTTCTCTCCGACCTGTCTAGAATTTCTCAACCTTTTCTTCTTCTCATTGTTGTTTTCCAAGCAGGACTACCTCGTTGACTAGTACAGTCTGCAAGATTTTACACCTCCATCTGATGTGTGGGGCCAGTGAATGGTACAATTTATTTTGATTTAGTTGCTGGTTCTAATGACCTAATGATATGACGACAATGCATTCTGCGTAGCATTGGCAGAAGAACGCTCTCGTTTCCACCAATCCGACTTTTTTTTGTTCAGCGGTCAGAGTTCCTCTGAGAGGCGAAATACACTTAGATCTCCTTTGGAGGCGTTTGATAAAGTTTCTGCGACTGCAGACTGCCGCCAAGCGTGAAAACCTTTTTCCTGCAATTTACCGTCTGCGCAGGAGGTCTGTGTTGGGGAGAGAAGAAAACCTTCTGCAGGGATGAAGGAAATGCAGCGCCGCATTAACACAGGGAATTGAAACCACTGGTTCAGGCTTTAGTGCTGCAGTCGAGAAGCTAGTATGTTAAGGACAGTGTGGTACTTGGATGATTTTAACAGAGGTCACGTCAGGTATCCTTGGGGAACAACCTGCAGAAAGGTATATAGAGGTATACGACGCATTCATATCTTTGCCCCTGTTCCGTTTGTTGGACTGCAAACTATGCAGCTTTCTATGACTTCGATTCAATACTTTCTATGTTGTGTTTTTCGGCTGCTGTCTGGAAGACAAATTACACCCGCCACATAAAAAAAATGTTCCCTGCTCCGCTTTACACGCGCAATACAATGAGTCCTTTACTGCGCATGTAAGGCACGCTGTAAGCGCGAGAGCGTGCTGATGACAAAGTGACACTTTAATGAGTCAAATGGAATAAGCCACACATACTGCATATCAGTTTCCCACATGGACGTGGAAAGGTTAAATGTTGAGGACTTTGAGGAACAACACCGGCTTAAATGGCTCTAAATTTCATCGAGGCCGCTCTTCATTGCAGTTTTATCAAATTACTATTCTGATAGTGTCCTCTTAGCAAGCTGAGCCTGGGATTAATATCATATCATGCTGCATTTAATTTAATAGGCGGTTGGATGAGACATGGCTTTTTAAAGCCCCCTATATGTGTCACACTAAATCATTTCAAACCCTGTTTGGCATCAAGGACTTTAGTGACGCCCACTGCGAGCAGACGGGCAGATCTCCGTCCAGCCACAATTAGGCCTTTGTACGACATCGCGCTCCTTCCAAGGTGCTAAATACAAGCCTGCCCGCCAAAGATATAAGTACTTATTTCCCATTCAAAAAGTAGCTTATCAATGGATAGTATGTCACTTTATCAGCTGTGCGCCCCAAATATGTGTTGTTGTCACATTTACATCCAGAGGGAATCCGCCTTAATGCTTGATGGTCCTTTTACATCCCTTAAGTAGGTACTTGGCCTAAGTAGTATGGTGAGGTACATTGTCACTCTCACTATTCTACTGTATGATCTTAATTGAATTTGCTCACTCTTTTTAAATAACTTTAATGTCAAAGAAAGGTCAGAAAAAAACCCTGAATAAAGTACATACTGTTTGCGGGTTCGGTTGTTTATAAATTCCAGTAGGGCAGTAGAGTACTTTTTCTGCACACACAGACCTTCTTTCTCTCTGCAGGAGGATGAGAGAGTAGTCAACCCCTCCGTCACCCCAGCACCATCAGCATGACT